TTCACCAATCCTTCCATTTAGTTCGATGACTCACGGGGAAATTCCCAGCCATATGATATAGAGTTGCGAAGGCTAAGCTCACCACTTCATGGTTTATGAGCATCTCTAATATATCAAGGGAAGGTTGATAACCCACGACAAAATCATCAATCAAACGTCATTTGTCAATTGTATCCATTCATATCTATCTCCCCATATGCATGATGCTTTAAACCACTGCAAACCACATCAAATAGCTAATTGATCACCAGGCTTTCACAATTCGTTGCTTGTTCTCATGAAACATCTCATGGATTCATCCACCCATACCCATGATACTCCATTTTTTGCATCCCCATTAGCCTCTGGTTATGACTAACATAGCCATGTCACTCTGGCACCTTTTTTCCTCCACCACCAGAATTATTCAAATTGCCTGGTGGCTTTGCCACCTTCTCTTTAAGAGAAGCACCCTTGGCTGATGTCAGCTCTATAACTTCTCAACGCCATCATCCCCTAGCCATCACTAGGGACTTACCTGACCATCATCAGACAAGCGGAAAAGGAGAGGGACATCAGGCCAAGAATTAGGATGAAAAAATCCTCCTTCTCCGGTGGCCCCCCGCCGGAACTTAATCCGCGGAGGGTGGGAAGGGGAACCAAAAGCTGCAGGTCAAGGACCGGCTGTTCTATCAAAAAGTGCATCCTGACATGACTACTGATACATCATAGGGTCATGTCACTCTGGCACCTTTTTTCCTCCACCACCAGAATTATTCAAATTGCCTGGTGGCTTTGCCACCTTCTCTTTAAGAGAAGCACCCTTGGCTGATGTCAGCTCTATAACTTCTCAACGCCATCCCCTAGCCATCACTAGGGACTTACCTGACCATCATCAGACAAGCGGAAAAGGAGAGGGACATCAGGCCAAGAATTAGGATGAAAAAATCCTCCTTCCACGGTTTCCATGCTGGCCATCGGCCGACAAAGCGTGTGAAAGTACACGCATGTATTGTCTTTGCTCCGGTGTGATCTGCAGGTGACTGAGAGTAGCAGCCGCGTCCTGCAGATAGATTCTGGCTGTGGACGTTGATGCCCATCTGCCCCGCAGCAACGTCTGCTCGATGTTCTGCTCAGACAGGAAATGCCACGTGGCTCCTCCTCTTCTAAAACTGTACATGGAAAAATAACCTGGCACATTCAAGTGCTTCAAGATTGTGAAGAAGAGGTCACGGAGGCGCGCAGGAGAACAGTCCAACAACGTGTCCTCTGGCTGTTTGGGATGCAAAGCACGCTGAAGCCAAGAGTTGGCGACTCGACTATGGCAGACCACCATTTCATTGGCATTTTTGCGCTGACCTGTCTTAGTATTTCTCAGCGACAAAACTGCACAACCTCCAGCCCATGTAACATCCTGCTTGCGCAGGCGGTAAAGCTCTCCCGGTCGTAAGAGGGTGTCAAAACACAGCAAAAACGCTGCGGCCTCGGCGACAAGCTGAAGCTTGGCACATGCCCCGCTGATGGCCAACACCAAAAGAGGGCTGATGGGAAGCACCCGGAGAGGCGGTTCCATCTTCTGCCAGGACTTGAGTAGTCTCCAGCTGTGTCGCAATTTCCCCGCCACTTCCGGGACGAAATGCTGGATAGCAGCAAGCCCATCGGAGGCATACCCCTTGGGATACCCTTCTGCAAAAAGGTGCTCCAGCCATTCGCCCACTGAGATGTCAAAATCATCCCAAGTGGCTGGCCGAGAGCCAGATTCAGTCCAGAAGCGAAGCACCCGGGACGCCGCTTGTTGGTAACGAATGTGCAAGCCAGGTGACAACACTTTGCCTTGGAGCTTCAAGTTTTCACGCTGCTTCTTGCGCTGTTTGCGCCTTTCTTCAGCTTGGTCACGGGCTTGCCGCCCCATCGACTTGGAAGATCTGCTGGGTTGTCGTGTGTTGCAACGTAACCAATCGCCAACTGTAGACCCCCTGCCAAACACAGGGCCGATAGACGATTCAATCCTTTGCGCAGCCGATGGCTACTGGATCGACCTTTGGCCACAATAGCCGCTATGACCTGGCTATCCACCAAGTGCAGCAGGCGAACACGGAAGCCCGTGGTCTTACGAAGACGCCATTGCATGCCGTTGACTACTGCTTGCAACTCCAGCACATTAATATGAGCATGATGTTTCCATGGATACCCATGAATGATTCTCCAGTGAAGAAGGCTGGAACGAATACCGGCACGAGGCCAGGCTTTGGTACGAAATGGAATCCCCACATCTAATTTAACATCACACCCCCCTTTGTCTCCTTGTCGAAGAAACTCTTGAACCAATTGGCGACACAAATCATTGGGGCGACTGGATGGTTCAAATTGTGGCTTTTCACACCAGCCAGTTGGAGCTACCTCCTCCCGCGCTAGTTAGTATGCAGTCAAGGCGCCGGCATTGGTGAGCGGGGTTCACATTCCGCAGCAATTCATCCAACAGGAAGGTGATGGAGTAGACATTGAACGAATTGCCCAACATGCAGGCTCCCGTGTTGAAGGCCTCATCCAAGCTCAACTTCTGACTTAATCCACAGGAGACATACCCCTGCGGGAACCCCATAAGTCTCTCCCGCTCCATAAGGGAAGGCAGGCGTAGCTCTCCATCAGGACGTAGGACCATTTGCCAGCTCTCGTAGTTGTAAACTTGAAACCTATGTCTATCAGCACTCCAACGGGCAATCGCCTCGTCTGTAGCCTCACGGTATCCAGCAGGCTGTCGTGGTGGCGTTGATCTAGGCAGCGCTCTGGTCAGAGTGGGTAATGGCTCCTTGCATGCTCGCTTGCAAAGCGGGTCTAACCACCAATCCCTGTCCTTCAACAGGGGAGGAAAAACCCATTCCCTATACCTGTCATGCCAGATCAAGGTTTCACCATCTCTAGGAGCAATATCCCAGTCCACCCAAAAAAGTCTAGGACGTCGGCATTGAGTGAAAGAGGTGCAGTCAACCAAAATTGGCTCCACCCCCAGTGTGTCCGAAAACTCATTGCGACTTTCTTTCGGCATTGAGAAGACGTTTTCAACAAAGGTGTACACAGGGCATGAAAATGCTTGACGCAGTCCTGAAAAAATTCTAGGCATCTCGAAAAACAGTTTGCTTCTGGACCCTTGCAGACCTTTTCGGTTTGCCAAGAGAACTGACAAGTCCTGACATGGGCTGCCCCCCCCTGCCAACACAAGGTCTACGGCATGCCCACAGCTCCTGGCCAATGCGTCCAGGTCACCTTGGCCAATCTTCGTCACATCGCCAAGTTCGATGACTCCTGGCCAGCGTCGGCGGACCAGGCGCTTGCACTCCGCATCCACCTCAGATGACGCGAATGCTACAACCTGACATTCCAACCGACACAACCCGCACATGAGGGCAGAGATGCCATCGAAAAGTGATACTATAACTAGCCGTGGACCCTTCATCTTTCTACGTGAGATTGCACCATGAGGGGAAAAGGGCAGAACCCGATCCACCCTGTATGCTGGACTCTGAAGTTGCCCCAGCATCTCAAGACCCATCTCCGTTAGGCCACCCGATGCGCACAGGCCACCACCTGTTTCGCTAGCATCAGAGCAGGTGATCATGTTGTCCACCTTGGCCCGCAAGTCAGTACCTGCCAGGGGTAGCAGGGCAACAGAACGAAGCAGCTCTGAGATCCCCATGTCTGACAGCGGCCTTCTCACCTGTAGATTCCCTTTAGGCCAGATCCTTCCAAGTAAAACCATGAGGGGCCTACGAAACTCGAAACAGCGCACCAATCGACCCAGAACCATGAGAATGATCTTTGTGGGAGGATGCCGGAGGCTCATCAACCAAATGGCAAAAAACCCGACTTCCAGTTTCTTGTTCATGGGGGCTGAAACGTACCCGCGCTCTCCATCAATCTCCGCGCCCATTCGCACCACCTTCGGCTCTCTCAGGTGGGCCTTGTTTTCAGAGATGCCCACTCCCCACCTGGCATAAGCCAGGCGCTGTTGGCGGTGGGTTTCACTCATACTGCCCTTCATATCCTCCCAGCCTTCACTGGGAACCACCTCTGGGCAGTCAAAATCATCCAGATAGAATTGCGCAAACTCAGTGAACCTACCATCCGATGTTTGGGGCGCCGGTTTGTCTCGCCTCCATTCTATCTCTTGGGGGTGTCCTGCACCTATGGGCCGCTCAGCCATACCTAGCTGTCGATGGAGATGTTGAAAAAGGCTAACCGCCTGTATCCATCCCATGGGAATCACTTTGCTGGCAACATATTCCCATTCTTTTGAAGATCCAACTACCTGTCCTGGAACCGGCCAGCAAAAGGCCATAAAGGGTCTCCAAGACGCTGGGAGGTGCCAGGCATAAAAAGCTCCGCGTTGGTCATCACCACTCCAAAGCAGCACTTCGTTTTGCCTGAGCACGAGTTGGCACCATGAACTAGCACTTGTGAGAGTGTTCAGGTCCCCAGGCATAAGTTTTTGATATGTGTTTGCAGGAACGAAATTCATAATCAACCTTGTGACTCTCTTTGCATTCCCTTCTGCCTTGCCCTTCTTCTCTACGGTGAAAGCCCCATTCAGTACCGGGATCCCCCCAGCATGAAAAACCTTTTCCAAGGGGATTGACTCAATAATGCCCCTATCATACAACACCTTGCATACCTTGTACCACTCAGACCTGCTAGCGTTGATTCGAGCTTTGGGTACCGTTTTCGGCCAACTCTCCGGGGGCTTCAAAGTGAGATACGGGTCCTCCACCCATGCCTTGATGGCTCCAGTTGCAGCCTGCACTGCACTCAAAGATCCAGCAACGCCTTCAACAGGCAGTCCAGGTAGAAGTTCTTCAAGCCTCAAAGGCAGGGCGTGGCTCACTTCTTCCCCTGAATAATCAATTGACCGAGCCCTTACCAAATCAGGGAAAATGGGCAAAGTAACGTGTTTTTGTGGTTCTTGACAAAACGTTTCAACCCAACTGTCAATCACAGAGATGGCAGCTAACTGAGTGGGGCTCGCTTTGTTTCTTTTCCAAGGCTTAAACAACCAATCATCATTCATTCCATTGAGCATGAGAACCACCATAACCCGCCAGAGTTGATGAGTGCCTTCCCTTACCAACCGTTTCATCTGTTGGCGCCCCCTCTTTTTGTCAGCGCTGGACTTCAAGTTGTTGACATCCAGCAGGCCGGATGGTGTAGCTTTCAACCGTGCTACCAGTTTCAAAGCAGCCCCTACAGGAGTTAGGGGCAGTGGAAGAACATCCCTAACCCGAAATGGTGTTGTGGAGGACTGTTCAAACTGCGTAGAAATCCAAGTAGACAACAACTTCCCATCTCGTGGGCTTGCAAGTAGGAGCTGCATCAAAGAAACGCCTAACTGTAGAACAGAGGGGGCCATGTTGGATATTTCACCACAAAGTTGATGGAAGGCAACCCTACGAATGTCACTGACATGAAAGAACTTCAAAAAATCACATTTCTCTTCAAATTCCAACACTTGCTGATTTGTCCAAAAGGGTAACCCAACCGGCTCCCCCTCAGGCTCAATCCCCTCAGTTGAGGGAGTGACACCGGTCCCGCGCTTTACACTGGACGGAGCTGCCCCAGCTACGCAGGTATTAAGCCGCCCTGCCCTCACAGGTGGCTCACTGCTTACCCTTGCATCCACAAGGGAGGAAATCTGCCAGCTCATCGGCCCGCATGCCCCCTCCCCCGCCCTCACGGGGATTGTCACCTCTTGGCAGCTGGTTCTGTGCCTCCTCCTTTCTTCCCAGCTGCCTCCTCGTGCTTTCTCTTGTGCTGGAACACGCGTGACTTCCATTGTGATCGGGTTTCCCCGTCCAGCCTTGGAACTGCATCCCTGGCCTCCTTCATTCTCATCAAGCCGGATGCTGATCCTCCTCCAGCCGGGGCTGCATCTTTCTCGTCGTCGGCAAATCTCACCTTCCTCTCCAAGGGGCTCCGACTTCGGCTCGGGCTCTTCTTCCCAGGCCTCTTCAAAGCAGGCTTCCTCGGTGGGTCCTTCTCTTCCGGCTCCACTGCACCAGAGGATTTCGGGTGGCGTTGAGGGGGCACAGCAGGTGCTGCCGTTGCCCCCCCGCCGAGTCCCTAGCCCCTGGCTTGGGCCCGCTCCAGCAGCTGTTCGCTTTTTGCCCGTTGCACAGCTAAGCTGCGGGCATAGTCCGCTTCTTCCATCGTTGAAGGCGTAGGATACACCTCCATTGGGATCAGCTCCAGGTAGCGGCTTGCAGTCGTAGATCCGTCCCGCATACCCATCAGTATGCTCTTCATCCGCTGCATCAGATAGTCCCCTGCCAGTCCAATCTTGCCGGACACGATCAAGTCCAATGCACTGGACAGGGTACGCAGCTCCCGCAGCTTCTCCTCGCCAACCTTTCGAAGATCCATCAGCGGCAAAGCGCTGGAGAGCAAATACCTCACTGCCGCAGGCTGCAGAAGGTTATCTGCAGATGATGACACGCCTTTGTCACCGTACAGCGTGCCCAGCTGCTCATGCATGAGCCCATAGCCACGGCTCAGAAGGCACCCTGGCTTGGCTTCTGCCATCTTCCTGAGCCTCCTTTGTTTCCCAGCCAAGTCAGTATCTCGTCTGCTACCTTTGATCAACTCCTCATCATCGTCCTCACTCAGACTGTCAGAGGTGGAGCTGGCCTTCTTGTCCTTTTGGCCAGACAAGATCTTCAGGGCCTTCTGCACCTTCTCCTTCTCGCTCTCCTTCTTCCTCTTCTTGTTCGTTTCAGGGGCCTCCATGACCCTACATGCCAGCACTGCACTGGCTCCTCCCCTCACCTCGTTCTGCTTCTTGCGCTCCTCCAAGCTTTTTCTCAGCTCCTCGAATCTCTCCTCCTCACACGTCTTGGATAACCCAGGCTCGTCCTCCAGCATCTTGTCAAGGGGAGTCTCATGCCTGTATGAAGCCGCCTCCTTGCTACGAGTCACAGCTCCCACTGTGCCCCTTGCTAGGATAGGGCGACCTCTTCGCTCTCGAGAGTCATCCTCATGCTCGGATGTTCTTCTCTTTCTACTACGCCTGGCATTGGAACGTCCAACATCCTCGTCTTCCTCAGAACTCCTCATGCGTGAATCATCATCACCCCGCCTATCACGGGATCCCCGGCCGTCACCAGGGTCACGTCGCTCGCCACGTCGGCCTCGGTCACGTCTGTCGGGCTTCGCCTTGGGTGCTGTCATGACTGGCTCCTCAACTAAGGAAATTCCCTTAGGAGGGCGGGGTGGCCCCAGGTCAAGGGGCTGAGTCTTCCAGTTCTTCACCACGGATTTCACCAAGTCTCGATGGATGGGGACCCACTTCTGCACGTGGACCAGGGCATCACTTCCAACCTTACTTCTGCACCCCCTCCAGCTGTGAGCGCAAAGGTGGTGAAAAAGATTCCCTCCACCTGTGGTCCTGAGCCAATGCTCATAGTACAAGTCGCTCACTTGGATGTACTTGAGCAAGAGAAAGGCCCCATCCCCGTCTGCCTTGTACTTCTTGGTGATCTCAGCCACTGCATATCCCTGGCTGCCACCAGAGTCATCCAAGCACTCAAAGTACAGGTGATCACACACCATACTATAGTGCTCGGCGAAGTCCTCAGCTTTCAGCTTGCTCCCCTCCAACAGGTCCAACCGTACAGCCATCACTGCAGGTATGGACCGCCTTTGGGGTTGGAACCAAAAGCTGCAGGTCAAGGACCGGCTGTTCTATCAAAAAGTGCATCCTGACATGACTACTGATACATCATAGGGTCATGGTATAGATGGCCCATAGAAATAGATGGTTTACCGTTCTTAAAAATGGGTGGTGATTTCCATGGCAAACTGTTAGTCATAACCAGAGGGTAAATGATAATCATATGGGGATGGGTCAAAACCCTGGTACCTAGTGAACCCCAAAATAGCTGGTAAATGGATGTTCATCTCACTAAAAATGTATCTATAGGTATTGACCCATACCCATATGTCATAGTCATCAACCAACACCCGGGTTTTTGCCATTGCTCACCTGCACGACCGTCCGGAAGCAGAAAATTGAAGTTCTTCGAGGTAGTCTCGAAGTCTCAGAGACATGAAGGACTTCCTGGGGAGAATCATATGGCCGTTGGGATTGGTCATTCTATTGGGGGAAATATGGGAAAATGATACTCCCCTATATTTGGTCATGTGAAAATATGGGCAAATATGGGAAAATATTGGTTTCTTTCAGGGATTGGTCTGGGAAAATATGGGAAAATATGGGTTTCTTTCAGGGATTGGTCATATGGTAGCCAACTGATCTCCAGTGGAGTGCCGGCACAGCGTCCTTGGACGCCCAAGTGATCTCGCTCGAAACGCCGCTGGCTGTCTCGGTCGTCTCTTCCTCTGCCGCGGACGCCAAGTGGATGCGCTGTCCCGGCTCCACGGACATCTTTTTGTCGAACCAATGCGATGGTGTCAGCGCCTTAGCCTCCTCGACCATGTGGGGATAGGGGCACTCATTTGGGAAGGCAAAGTGCAACCATTCCTGGCAGCTTTGAAACAACGACCCCACGCAAACAATACATTGTAAACTGGGGTTGTCATAAGGTCTGTTGCGAGAGTCAATATTTTGTGAGAGAGGATGGTGTCCAAAAATGATGATATATACTATACCAATGATTTTAAACGATCATGATAACAACAGACACATTGTTGTCATTGTCATCATTATTAGTGTAATGATTATGGTCATTATGTTGTAAACTATGTTAGCAAAACAAATATTAGAACATTAACAATTCTCAATAGTAATTTCACTATCATAATCAAACAGACCTACTTAGTAAAAACAAATTTCACTAAATTGACATAGACCCTGGCAGATAGGGTTTGAAATCTTATTTCCCACTAAAAAAATGACTTATTTTCAGGGTCTATGTTAATTCACAAGAGGGTAAACTTTGTTTTGCTGCTGCCACTCAGAGTCAGAAAAGAGGCATCCGTGAAGCGGCACTTCTCCACCGTTCTGCTCCGCAATCTGCTGAAGCCTCTCCACCATGACCTTCGTCGGGAGAAAAAAACACTATTTTTGTGGACCAAAACAAGAGATGTGATGGGGATATCCTCAACAAAAATTGTGATTCTTCATGCCAAAATCGTCCAAAACATGCCATATTTGCCCGACCAATTCAAAGTCCTTGGTTTCTCCAAGCTCTTGCAGAGTTCTACCCAAAAACAAAAACTACTACACCATCGTATTCCCCATATGAAATGGCGAATAAAACCCAGCCTGGGGAAACTCGCGTGGTGCGTCCACCGTGGAGGACGAAATGTTGCCCAACAAACGCAGGAGATGCATCGCTTCGGCACTGGGCCCTTGGACCTTGACCTCCAAGTCGTTCAAGACACCCTCGCACTCACTCAGACAACACACCTTGGTGAAAAACACTTTTTGGGCTGAATTTCACCCACCAAAATGGTGACTTAACTGGTTTTTACCAAGGAAAACTCGGATTTCACCACTAAAAATGAGGTTCAATGGATTGTTTGATGGAATTATTGGTAAATGTTACCGCTGAAACTCTGACCTTTAACCCCAAAATCCGCCCGCACCGAAGGTGCTGGGGCGTGATCTTCCGGATGGCACTCGTAAAAGGTTACAGGTTTACCTGGGGGGGGGGGCATTTTGCGGCCAAAACCTCCTGTTTTTGATAGGTCGTGACGCTCGCCTTCAAAAAACACTGTAAAAAACAGTACGGAAGACACCTGTTCGTGAACGCGCCCGTCCAAAATCGGCAAGCGAAAAGTGAAAAAAAACCGTGTTTTTCAACTTTTTGACCTCAATTTTTTGGTTTGCAACATCTTTTTTTGCGGTTCCGCAGGTGGCCGGGCCCGGAGGCGGATTTTTGAGTTTTTGGACCCGTTTTCGGACTGATTTTCGTCGTTTTGTGATAGCAGAAACACTGGTTTTTACAGTGTTTTTCTGTTTTCTGCATGCTTGACGGCTAGCTTCAAAACTTCCAAAAACCTCGTAAATTACGCTGTTTTATGTTACGGTGTGAATGAAAACATCGTAAATACCAGTGTTTTTTGACGTTGGTTAAAAAAACACTGTAAATTACAGTGTTTTTGGCCACCTGACCCTCAAAAACCATGGTATTTGCAGTGGTTTCTGCTTCTCACCGCGCAAAAACACTGTAAATAACAGCAATTTCGCCGTTTTTTCATGTTTTTAGTTATTTTTTGAACTGCGTTGGTCCGCTATACATGGCCATCAAATTCTTCGCGGTTTTTTTTTCCGACAATCAGTACTTTCGGATGTTTTTGGTCTCAATGCCCCTGCTGTGTGAGCCCAACGATGCGGTGCGGGCGGTTGCCGTCGCGAAGCGACGTGAATAAGCTGGGCTACGCCCTGTAAATGTTCAAATCGTCCAACTCGGGTATGTGGCAGGTGGTGTTTTTCGGGTAAAAAAATGAAAACATGTTTCTTTGAAAATAGGGTACAGTAACCCAAAATTCCTTCATCATCATGCGTAAAAAAATACTATAAATTCAGGGTAGGTACACCCCATGTTGAGACACCATCCAACTCAAATTGTCGTTTGATTGTATCCCAATAAATATCACACTAAATCCCATTGAATCCATACAGGATTGGGCCCCAGAGCTATAAGTTTGTTTATGACCCATCTAAGTATAGGTATATCGACCACAAGTCTAGTTAGCCCCAGTAAAAAATGACTTGAAACCAACTAATTCATATCAGCTTGGTCAGTTCTATCCCATGAAATATCCCAAATGTATATCCCAATTACAGATTGAACCCAAGAATCTCTTTGGAATAGCTGGTTGACCACCAGCCAAACATGGCCATTCCAAGTTTTCCATTGATGTTCCATGAAGTCCCATATATCCCATTGAATCCTATGGCTTCTTTGTTGTTTAAATCGCAAGAAAAATATGATTCGGTTGTATCCCAACGTCTTTCTTGGTTGTATTCCATCATATAATCTACATATATATATATATATACATATATATATATATATCCCAATATTTACATATACCCCATATTTACATGATTTGGTTGTATCCCCACATTATGTATGTATGTATATATATATACATATATACACACATCCCCATATATGTATACTCATTACATGTGGAGATTTCCTAAAATGGGGGTACCCGAAAATCATCCAAGTAGACCCTGACTTGGTATTGAAACCTCTGGGTTTTGGGGATCCCCCAGTTTAATCATCCCATTTCCATACATTACTAAGTATACAGTATAGAATATTAATACTAAGAAGCCTCCATATACTACTAATTCTACATTTATATATATATAATTCTATAGATATATACATTTATATGTGTATATATATAATTATATACACATTATGTATACCCATTATATTAGATCTATCTATCCCCATAAAACCCATCACGGGTTTTATCCACCGTCTGCTTAGCTGCAGAGTAATAGGTCGACGAGGCGATGCAATTGGAGGGGCCCTGCAAGTAGTTGGCAATGCGCACCTTCTTCTCCTCTCGTTTTTTTGGTCGAAAGCGGTAGCAGTCTGGCCGTCTGGCCATCATGAAAAATATATGGGATATCAAACCGAGGAACTAATGTTGACTTAACCAATGGAAATAGGGACTCGACCAACAAGAATGTTGATTAAATAGAAATTGGGATAACTAAGAAGATACATGGATAAAATCTGGTGATTTATAGGTCAACCAATGAAAATCATTATTTAGCCAACAATATGTGGGGAAATCAAAACGGTTTGCCATGGAAGATCACCATGACTATGAGCCGTGGCTTTGACAGCTGCTGAATTACCAGGGGGTAACCCATGGGAAACATGGGCTATAACATGGTATAATTATCGAAAATGGGGAAACATAGTATGTATTTCATATTCATATTCTTGGTGAAAATGGGGGTATAACCTGGTACTTCTGGTAAAATGATCGAAGATATCTGGTTGGTGGTTGAGCCCGAAAAATATGACACGTAGTCAATGGGAATAGCACGGGATGTAGGACTGTGTTAAGAGATGTCATTGAATAAGAAAGTAGACTATAATTTTCGGGGAAAACAAATTACTTGGACTCGATTTTTTAGGAAAGAAATGTCAAAAGTACGCATCTATATAATATAATTTCCTTTGTGTGTTCCCGTCTTCTTTTAAAAGCTGCTGGAGCTCGGAAAGGATAGGTTGAACTGCTAATGTTGGTGGGGTTCAGACCACCAACATTAAGCGCAGTAGATTCCCCATCAAGGAAAAAAGCCATGTCTCCGACTGTCTCCTCATCAAGAGCCCCAACCTCTTGCAGGTACTGCATCGATTCAGTGAACTGATACTTCGTGTTGTCCACCCGACCATAGAACTTTCCAAGGGGGATACGGCCATCACCGTCAGCATCAAGGTCCATTAGGTCTGCTTTCATCTGCCGGCACTCCATGTTCTGCCACTGGCCATAGCTATGGGCCAATTCTTCCACAATCCCAAGCGTGTCCTGCAGGTTGTCGGAGTAAACAAACGAATATACAATAACAGGGAGGCATGATTGAAATGCACGTAATAACGGGGTACATCTATCAATACATATGTCATATGTGTATGATTGTGTATGTGTATATTATATATATATGTGTGTGTGTATCATTTTAAGAGTTCATTGATAATCATTGATATTCACATTGACCTACCCACAGCCTCCCATAAACTCACCCCATCCGCTACACCTGGAAGGTGTACTGTGGTTCTTGGAACGGATTGGAGCTGTGCTGCTTGGCAAAGTTGAAGTTCAACACGGCATCCCGCTGGAAATCTACCAAGACTGGCCAGTCATCACCTGGTTGGCTCGACACCCCGAAAAAATCGTGCGATGTATGGGGGATGCCATCCGTGATGTTCATGCCATCCATGATTGTCTCAATCTGGATTTTAAGAGATGCACATCCATAACTATGTGCCAGCTATTTCTATGCCAGCATATCAGGGTTTCCCATCCAAAGAAAGTTACCCTCGATGATCCCATGTTTTGCCATTCGAAGTGCTGTTTTCTTTCGCAGTAGCCGCTATATGTTTAATGACCAGCTTGGGTCAAAAATCGAGATCTGTGTCCGCGTTTGTCCAAAAAAATCACATGGGCTTCGCCATCCAGCGACGCACAGAGAGTCGGCTCTTCAAGGAGTTGTGCAGGCGCGCATCCGACAAGTTGCCCTTGCTTCCCAACCTTGGAGCCACAAAAATCCTGGTAGATTCCCTGGGGATCCTTAAATGGTGGATGAACCAATGTGAAAATCTTCCGAAATCAAAAATCATCATCAGCAAATCCAGGCAACTGGAAGAGGAGGAGATAAGACGTGAGAATCTCGTGCACATCGCCTTTCTGCATAAAGACCACCCTGAAGAATGATATAATAATTACAGTACTCATGGTGGATCGACATCCCAAATAAGGCCGGAAATCGTGTAGATACAGTGTATATATATATATTACACATATATATATATTACATACATATATATATATATAAGAATAAGAATGATTTTTTGACCACCAACAAGTTGCTCTGTCCAACAGTTCCAAGCATGCTCTGATCATTGAAGATGTAAGATGCCCGGAGCAGGGACAAGGATTCGTCAAAGATCAGCCGTTCCAAGGCTGTAATCATCGTCACCACATCAGTCAAGGAGAGGCCATGGTTGGAGCGGCGTGCTTCAAGCAAGGACTCTACAAGTGCCGGGGCCTTGTCTTGCAAGATGTTGACTTCATGAATTTCTGAGACATCCGCCCGGTTTCCATGAGGATCCAAGCCCTGAATCAGCCAACCATGCTCCTTCATGAAGTAGTTGTGCACCAAATATCGCACACCCCTTGGACTAAGGCGCCCAATCTCATTCTTGGGAAGGGCCTGAAAGGTTTGCCACACGCGGGCCTCAATGTGCCCAGCGCGCTTGGTGGAAGCATAATCACCATCAAGCAAAGCTTGCATGGCACTCTGCAAGCCAGCCTGGATGGGAATTTTGAACCTACCCTGGTATGAAAGTCAATTGAAGATCCTCTGAAAAGATCTTTGGGGAATCTTTGGGGATAGATCATTAGTCACTTGTCAACTGGGATCATCCCATGTTGGGGATAGAGAATTAACAACTCTTGAAGCCACCCAGTCACCTGCACATCCTCCACCGCAATGGTGCGCCCCTCGCTGCCGCGCACTCCACCAGCCTCGGCAGAGAGCACGGAAGCAAAGACGATTCCACATCCGATGAAGCGCATCATGATATGAAGAGTAGAACTTGAAACAGCCCGGCCGAGGGTGGACGACTGTCAAGAATGGCCTGATGAAAGAACCTTGAGAGGTAAGCTGCGGCAAGGTAGGAAACACAAAATGACGGGCAGCCGAAAGTGATCTGCCCACATTCTCACACCCTGCTTCAAAACCGATTCTCAGCTCACCAACAATCCCTGATCATATACTGATGTCTCCAACTTGGGCTATGCGGCTATGTGTGTGTGTCTGAAAATAGGGTACCCGAAATCCCATGATTGATCATCATTGAATCATTTTCTCTACATTCTTCAATGGCCATAATATGACATGTTTTGTATGTTTTTCTTCCTACATTTTCAGGTACCAAAGCCATGTACCAAACCAAGGATTGTGTGCTGGTTGTTGCTTCGTTGATAGCTGCTTCAACCCCTCAGCCATTTTCGACGCTTTATTCGGCCGGCAGCCCGTCCTCATCCTGTGCAGGCAACGAAAATTGCGAAGAGTTGCCGCCTTCTGAACAGTTGACTCCAAACATGTGGCTCCCACAATGATGTGTATGTGTATATATATACATACAGTTATATACATATGATACTGATATGTAAGACTGCCCAACAATATTGGTTAAAACACGGTAAAACATGGTAAAACATGGTAAAACATGGTAGAACCCTGAAACCAACACTGGTTCATCATGATTCTCCCTCTTCTTCCATGGACGCACAAACTGTCCCCAGGACCCGCACCTCGCCAGTGGGAGAACCTACCGCAAGCAGCGATCCAAGTTTCACTTTTCCCATCGCAAAATCTGGGTATGCCTGATTTTTTTTGAGGAAAAAAACTCAGATTCTCTTATTCAAAAATTGGAAAAATCTGGGTGTGGCTGAATTTTCTTGGGGAACAAAGAATCAAAATGTTGATCATTCATCATCCTTCCCCCCACTAAAAATGTGCCACAAGTTGGGGTAAAATCCTCAGTTTTCAGACAAACCCAAGTATGACACCAAGTTGACCAGTGATATTCCATTTTGCCCCACAAAAATCACATCAAATCCAACCAACTATACATAAATCACCAGTCAATCACCATTAAATCCCAGTAAATCATCATGAAATCCCAGTAAATGACAATAAAAACAATAAAATCACCAGTAAAATACCATAAAATCACCACTAAATCACCATCCAATCCAACTAAATCACCATAAAATCACCCCAAAATCTCCGTCACTTCGCCTTCAGCGTCCTTGGTCAGCGGCACACTGCCGGAGGCCGAGATGATCTGCCCAGCGTCACTCTCACCATGCTCCACCTGCGATAGAAGTGGGTCAAATCCGAATCTAACCTTCGGGGTTACTATATGGCTATGGATCAATACCTATTAATACCATTTTTAGATATATTTTTAGTGGGATGAACATCCATTTACCAGCTATTTTGATGTTCACCAGGGGTACAAGGTTTTGACACACTGCAATATGAGTATTATGTATTGTGGTTAAGTATAACTATATGGTTAAGTATCAATTTTTGACTTACTATATGAGGTTACAAATCTCACTTGGTTTCTTTTGTCACTGGTTCTACCTTAATTTGGGGATTACTATATGAGTATAACTCATGATTTTGTACTGCAATAATTCAATAATTGTCATAGACCTGACAGAAATGGAGGTAGGACATGTATAACTGAACTAGCTGAATGACAATAATTCACCAACCTGCAAACCGGCACCACAAATGTGGCCGTTTTAACCCAAGTTTGACTATTGAACTATGCAACTGCTAGGTTCTGCTGCTAGTGGATTTGTCGGAATGGGGTCGCCCCAAAGCCGACGGATCATCATCATTCTTCCAATTGGAGTGGTGTTTTTGTGGCTTAATACCCTATTGCAGGACAAACCCAAACAGTCGGGTGAATTCCACTAGATCAAGAAACATGCAAATCTGCATTAGACTGTAGACCTCTACCATGAATCCTTCCCTCTTGGGATACCCTCTGGTAAACATACAAAAAAACTATGGAAAATCACCATTTTCAATGGGTAAATCCACTATAAATGGTCATTTTCAATAGCTATGTTAGTCATTACCAGAGGATAAATTGCAATATGTCACTAACCTGGAACAGGGTCATTGAGAGGGAGAGTTCCCCCTACCAATTATCATTCCAGTGACGGTGCATTGCGCTCGTGACTCATCTGTCTCCCCATTCTCGGTAGCCAGGACCCATCAACCTCCAGCTCCAGAGGTCCCAGAGGTTCCTCGGCTCTGAATGGGGTGCTCCAAGTGGAAAACAGGAAGCTGAGAAGTCAAATGGCTTGGTTCTGAAAATGGGATGCCCAAAAAAAAATGATGGGTTCTCATAATGTTCCGTCTTGAATTTACAAGTCTGGTGGTCAAATCCCCTACTGTCAGACATACCCAAATCATGTTGGTGGGAAGCTTATTCCCTTTATACCCCATTATATCCCGTTATATCTCATTGCATCCCACTGTGTCCCCATTACCCCGTGGTAATCTAAGATAGCTGTGGAATCCATAACCCATTTAGCTTGATGATGTAGCTATTCTATATACATAGTCTTACATGGTGATTTTTCATAGCAAACAGTTCAATCTCCAGAGGCTACATCATCCCACAAGCTCTCCATAAACTGGTAGCTTAAATAAGCATTCAATAACTACCCTCTGGTAAACTAACATAACTATGGAAAATCACCATTTTTAATGGGAAAATCCACTATAAATGGCCATGTTCAATAGCTATGTTAGTCATTACCAGAGGGTAACGCTAGCTACCACGAGGCATTTCACAGCGGAACCGCACCTGCATTCTGGCACTGAGCATGGCGTCCATCCTGGAAGGCCTGGAAGCGCGGAACCGCACCACCATGCTGCTGGTGAGCTGGATCTCCCCATTGAAAAGGATTTAGTGGGATTCAATATGATTTTATCATGTATATTTACATATGTATATATATATATATCATTATTCTGTATATTATATGTATTATGTATATATATATATTATGTGTATATATATAATAAATTATGTATATATATATACATATATTGTGTATATATATATGTATTATGTGTATATATATAATATATTATGTGTACATATATATATATATATTGTGTATATATATATATATATATTCAACTATTATGGATTGATTTAAGGGCAAACCTCTAAAAAAAAAACGTTTTTTCGCCCAAAATATAGCGGGTTTCCGATTTGTTCCCTTCAACCAATGGGAGACTCCATCCGAATTTGACCCATGAAGGGAATCAAATGGGGGCGTGCATCAAACGGAGTGATATGAATGGAGAAGTGAGAATGACTGGTTGGTGGTTTCAACCCCTCTGAAAAATAGTCAGTTGGGATCATTATTCCTAATATATGGAAAATAAAAAATGTTCCAAACCACCAACCAGTTATGGTGAATCTGGTAGACCTATATACACGTTTTTCATGGTGAAAGTATACCACCCATTTCTTTGAAATGTCATGTTTAGATGGTGATTTAATGTTTTGGGTTTACCACCATGACCTTGGATGATGTTGAAGATGATGTTGAAAGTTCTGTTGGATAAACCCCTACGTCAATATAAACGATATTGTGATTTACATTTTGATGGAAAAGTATCAGGGCGGTATGGTTTTTGCCGGAATGTGAATATTATGGTATAATATGGTTGTGTCTGAAAATGGGGTACCCCAAACAATGCTGAGAGAAATGAGGAAAATGATGACAAAGCACTGAATTTTGAAGTACCATATTGTCAAACCAACCGATATCAATACAGCAGTACCAGCAAAATACACTCAGAAATCCCAAAAAGATCATGTTCCCATTAAAACCTCCATTTACTTCGAGGATTTTCCGAATTTCCCATTATTTTTCCATTAAAAGCTCCATTTGTAGAGGATTTTCCGGCCAGTTTCCGCGCCTCAGGAGGTAGCCCAGGAACAGAGTGGTCGAGAAGCGGCAGAGCACCTTTTTGACGTTCGCGAATGCAGACGTTGACGGCTCAAGATGGGATGGAACCATCTAAAAGGGTGAATTTCATCATCAAAACTTGGTACTTCACTAGCAAAATTGTATTTAAGCATCAAAAATGTGGATTTAACCATCAGAAATTAGGATTCAACTTGATTCAACAATCAAAAAATGGGATCTAAGTTGCATACGGGGTGATTTTCATCATGACCAGCTAATTCTGGGTGGTTTGGTGCCTTGACTTGTTTGCCATGGCCAAGTTTCCCCAAGTCACCTGGCTTTGTCTGCAAATGCCATAGCCCCATATTTCAGGGAGCTTGTCATCATTTTCCAAATGAACAACTAAAATATTTTGGGGTACCCTCTGGCAATTTAACATAGCTATTGAAATTTGCCATTTATAGTTGATTTACCCATCAAAAATTGTTATTTTCCATAGTTTTTTGTATGTTTACCAGAGGGTACCCCCCCCCATTTTCATTCACGCCCACATGTTTTTTTCACCTACACTCAGTCGCAATTCACCAGTTGCGATGGAAAATCGCCAGTTGCAGAGCAATAAATCATCGAACTAAATGGATTTCAATGGATTTCACAGCTATGTTAAATTGCCAGATGAAAAAATCATCTTAACTCCCCATAATAAAGCCTTCGAAAATCACAACTGTATCCCATCAAATCCCCATGAGATCCCATCAAATCCCCTATGAGATCCCATTCCCATTAAATCTCCATTAAATCTCCATTAAATCCCCATGAAATCGCGGCGCAGCGTTTAGATGTTTCTTGGGACCGAAACTCGCACCTCGGTCCGGTCCACATACTTGGCTCGCACCCAAGGAGAGAGCATCGAGGCAAGAATACAGACCAAGGGCAAACTCAGGAAGTACCTGGAGCTGGTTCCGAGCCATGAAAAATTCATCGGATGTTTTTTTTTTACACAAAAAAAAACTCACCAGGCCATCTTCACTTCCCATTTTTCGAAGTTTCGTCAAACTCCCTGAGGCCCATGCCCCATTTGACACATGGCGCACAGGATGGAGACACCCATGACCCACACCTGGCGGCCCCACACCTTTGGCCCTGTTGAGGTGGGAAACCCAAAAAAATGACCAAAAATTACCAAAAATCACGGAACATGTGGTAAATCGTCCATTTTCAGACAGGCTCAAAACTGGACACATCTCATCTATGGCTAAGAAACATGGTTCTCTGCCCCGCCACTCATCCCTGGCTCTTTTTGGCGTCATGCGGAAGCCGGTGCCCAGCTCCTTTCCAACACAGTCCAGGAGCAGAAAAGCGCCCTGACGATAGGATTTACCTGGGCAAATGATGGGAAAATGATGAACTGACCATGAAATTGCATACCCTCTGGTGAACTAACATAGCAATAATGGAAAATCACCATTTTTAATGGGAAATTCCACTATTTCTATGGCCATTTTCAATTGCTATGTTAGTTCACCAGAGGGTATATGATAGATGTTTATGTTACCGAGATATCGTGTGGAACCAACATGAACCAACAATATGAGGGTTGGGAGTCTCCAGAAACGGGGTCTACAGGCCCCGTTTCATGACCATTCAAAGATGTTTCAAAAGCTTGTAAAATCTTGAGGACCTGGCCATCATGTTGCTCTCCTACGGAGCTTTGTCTCCAATAACAATGGGGAGCTGAACAACCTCTTTTACATGCACTATTGAACTTTTTTTGGTATGGGGAATTCACTCGGACACGACCGAACGACCAGCAGGTATGGCCCATGCATATCTGGTCCCAGACTTTCGTGTTTCAAATGATGGCCCATGGTTTCCAGTTGGAGGAAACTGAGCCAGCTGAGCTGCAATATTTGAAGAAGTCCTCAGTGATGCTGCAAGGGAGGGGACACATGTTCAAGTTTCCAGCTCAGTGTGAGTAAAACATGTGGATACTCTTCAAAAAAATTGATGGCGGGTCATAAGGCAAAATCTCTACTAAGCTATTCTCAACTGGCAGTTTTACTACTTCCACCGGAGCCACGAAAAAGTCCGGAGCCATGGAACCTCTTCACCAGTGTCACATGATAAACCCCTTCATAAGTGTAGCCTTCCCAATAGTTGCTTCTTGAAAAAAATCTTCCGCTAAAATACACAAATGTAAATATGCGTTTAACGCTTCAAGTTCTTTTGATTCTGCCACTTCCCCAGCCCAACTCTTTCACCCATTTTCCCCGGATCCCCAGCTGCCGCCACGAGTCTGTCGCGCCGGTGTCTTGTGACATCAAGGCTCTACGCAGCTCCCCCTGAACGACGTCCAGGTCCCGGTTCAAACTCACGCGCGCGTGCCAGGACACATCCGCGCGCCTGAGAAAGTGCCCAGCTCTACAGAGCTTCTGCAAAAGTCATTTCTTGCTATCCTGATTTCTTGTGATTTACTCATGTGGTTGTATGGATGTATTTGGTTGTATGTATGTATGTATACATAACATAATCATTCCTATATATATATATACATACCATATCATTCCAATATATAAAACATCATCTATGTATATATATATATATCACAGGCATCTACATCATCAATGGATCCAACATCCACCAAATCAACATCCAACCCAACCCAACATCAACACCAAAACCAATAATTATCCAATATTATACAAGAAATATACATATTATATCATATTACAATACATCATCAATCATCAATTATTTAAAAAAAAAAAACTACTACAACCCTCACCAATCCACCACCATCCCAACCCAAAAGTCCAGTCGACAGCGACACACCAAGTCTATCCAAGTCTCATCTGCCAGACGCTTTCCTCATGCGCCTCCTCCAAGCGATCGAAACTCTGCTTCAGCAACTCCAGGTGCTGCATCCAATGCGTCTGCTCCTGTACAACCTGAGCAGTTGCCAAAGTCGCCAACCAAAAAACGGTGAAAACGGCACCATGTTCGATGTTGAAAAGGCTGAAATGGTCGAGGTTTTCTGGGTGAAACGGTGAAACAACTTGAATCTCCTGGGATCAAGCTAAATCCACGTGTTCAGTGAGGAACGTCTCCGTTTTTTGTGGGTTAGATCCGCGAAAGTCATTTCTTGTAGGTAGCATTCCCACCTTTTGGGCAAAAATCTCAAAGAAAAAATGGGTCAGGGCTTTTGATGATCATCTGATCTCCCACCCAAAAAAGAAAACCGAACAACCCATAACCACTACTTTTCTGCAAGAAAAACAAACAAATCCGTGGGTTTTCATGGATCTCAATGGATTGCTTTAAGGGAAAATCGACAGGAAACCATGGTTTTTATCATTTGAAATAGTGATTTCCAGTAGATGCTCCACAATTTTTACCCTGATTTTTACCATCAAATATAGAGGTTTCAACTACCATGGCTCCCCGAAATGAAGCCAGGCACCACCGGTTTGGGCTCGGTCAACAGCTCCGGGCTGCGCTTCAGAGGGGAGGAGGTCCAAACGCGGACCTGCGCATGGGAGAACTGAACATCTGGAGATGTGCGTTGACTTTCATGAAATTTATCTGTATGTCTGTCTGTATGTATTTATGCTGCATGCATGCATGTACATGCGTGCGTGCGTACGTACGTACGTATATTATATATATATATCACTATACTCTATTATATATTGTATTATATTTATAGATCTATCAATGTCTATCCAAATCTATCCATGTCTATCCATATCTAGATGAATACCTATACCTATCTATGTGTATGTGTGTGTGCGTGTGTCTCTGGCCACCTCAAAATGATCATCCTCGCAGCGCCAGCCGCGCACCATGGCCTGCCGCAAGTCGGACCCCTGGATCCATCTTGGGAAAACATATAGAAAAAAATATCGAAAACAAATTTTGATCAGAAAAGTTCTTGGAAATCCCCATGGTGTACCCCTTCCAATCCCAGCCTCCCAGTCTGCCCAGGCCCAACCAGCGCCTTCTGCGGTGAAATCAGCAGATCCGGCACCAGCGTCGACAGCGGCGCCGCGGCCGCGGCCTTCGCCAGCTCCTCCGCCGCGGCCTCGGCCTCCTCGCGGGCGTCCAGCACCGGCAGTGGTGGAAGCCCCGTGGTCTGAGCGCGTGGCGACGTCATGGATCCCAGTCGTCACCATGGCATCATGGTTGTTTCAATACCAAGTCATGGTCATCCATGACGTGGATGATTTGGGGGTACCCCGGTGACTTCGGAAAGCTCCATTTTTGCACAATGAACGGGGTATGGCTTATGGGTTGATTTAAGACCAGCGATTTAGGTCCTTTCCCATGGCGTCACTTAGCTCATCTTGGATGTTCTCCAAGTTCAGCAGTTCGTGACTAGGAGATACTTTGGTGCTAGCCTACGACTCCCTGAACCCCCAAATAGACGTAGCAACCCCCATCAAAACAGATAGAAGTTGGTAAAATATCATCAAAAAAAACATTAAAAAAGACTGAAACGATCTAAAACAGTGGTAAATCGAAGCTGTTCTATCGTTTTCTTGGGACTGCGCCATTCCGCAGACCCCCCCAAAAAAAAGGAGCGCAACGTTGACCATTTCGTCCAGGGTGCCCCGCTGGTCCTCCGGCGGTTCGGATGATAATCAGGGGGATATCATCAGGTAGCACTACTACATAATAGGATAATTATAGTGGAATACCATTCTTCTAAAAACAAGGGAATCAGAGGGAATGGATTATACCATATTATACCAACTATTGGATGAAAAGGGAGTTAGATATTACAATTGACGCTATGTTTAGTGGGATTTTTGCAATGATTTGTCCAACTTCTATCTTTTTGGGGTTACGAAAATTCCCTGGTCAAACTACTTTAAATTGGAGATCCATCATAATTAATTCCTAATCTATCCATTTTTTACCCTGTCTTTGGGGGTACCGCCATCTCGTCCCGTGAGTCATAAGTATTCAATGATTGGCTCACTAGACTCTAGACCAGGGTTCCTTCTATTTTATAAATATCACCTGCAACTCCCTAACCAGTACACTCCTAAAAGGCAGGGTTTCAGCTCCCAGAAAGGAAATACGGGTGGGGCCATCTCCAGATCATCAATGATTTTTATCTTCCAATTGTTTTCTTTCCATATTTTTTCCCAAAAATGTGGGATCTCTTTCCCACCTTTAACAAACCCTTCGAAAAAAAAAATGATCCGCCACTACCCGTCCTCCTGGCAATGCTGCCCCTCCGTGGCGACTTTGGGGACCTATCACCCTGCTGTGACAGCGCCACATTCAGCTCCGTGCTGTTCCGCGACATGGACATGCGACGGGTAGCGCTACCTGGCACCAGTTGACAGTGGTTGATGGTTTATCCCATGATTCATAGGGGGTCAACTTCTTTCAACCATCCAAGGTGGTGTTCTTCCACAGTAGGGATGTCAGCATATGTCCACCTTTGTATGGAGAATGTCCCAAGGTCTGTTGTGCATCGTATCTTTGTGTCCCCAAAACGTCAAAAAGCAGCTCTCAGCACGAAGAATTGCAGGTGCCGGAAAATCTTATAGTCTATCTATTCTTGATTATTCCTGACTGGTTTTAGCTGTGAAGGGGTATAGTAATTCCCAAAATGTTTAATTTGGCCGCTATATTAGAAATGATTTTACAAGATCTTTTCGGGGTTGCTATAGAGTTAGAACCATATTACTAATGTCCAAATTATGATGCCCTATGTTCACCCCTTAGGACCTTAGGAGGTCCTTCAGCATAGCACCTCGACGCTTGATGGAGTTGCTCAGGCTGAATTCCACTGGGCTGGGTGGTTCCTGCCGCTCCCAGATTCACATGAAACAGCTGAGAGACACTCAGCTCAGTCCTCTGAAATTTGGCAAAACCCAAAAACATGCGGCCTTTCCCAGTGGTAACCCAGCTGTAGCCGGTAACCGCCAAAAAATCACCCCTTGAAAAAAGGCGGGCCATTTCCAGGCCTGCACCGGCGCAGCCGCCGCCTTAGGCGCTGCGGCCGCCGGCTTCTCGGCTTTGTCTGGGTGGTAGCTACCGCGCGCCAGCACCAGGGTGATGGTTTCGTTTCCTGAAGCTTCGATGATGCCATGGAAAGCTTGGTCTTTTTGGGCCCTGGGTCGTTGAAACCCTCTTGAAACGATCTGTGCAGGAGGCACAATTTTTAGATGGGAATGGGATCATAAATATCCCGCACCATTTGCTCGCTTCAGGGGTGCGCCTCGAAATGTGGCCATGCAAACAAAGGACATCCACTTTAGATATATAACTGTATCGGGATTATGCTTGTGCCGTTTCAATTGGAACTACCCGCCCTTCCATCACTGAGAATTCTAGTACAGTAGGTCCGAAGTGGATTGCTGCAGTCAAAGCAAAAATCAATGTCCATGATCCCCTTCCCTGAGAAAGGGAACGATGGCAATGAAAGAAAACCTGGCGAAGGGCCCTGCACAATTGCCGGTAAGTTTACTAGAAAACAGCAACAAACTCTTCTCAGCCACCAATGAACAGTTCCATCTCAAAGCCTAGTCTCTATCGACTTCACACTCCAGCATCACGCGTAAGGGCCCGCGATTCTTGCTGATGCTGTTGGCGGAGGTCAAGATGCGATAGATGCGCCCGCCTCAGGTGATGTGAAACCAACGGCCACTCCTAACTCGCAGCCTGCATCGTTTCCGAAAAAAATGGAGGTCTTTCAGGCCTTAAAGCTTCCAGAAACACTCGACGGTCTCGGAATTTCTGAGATCTGCTTTTCGACAGCCAGTATTCACTCATTCATTCATTCATTCATTCACTCATTCATTCATTCATTCACTCATTCATTCATTCATTCATTCACTCATTCATTCATTCACTCACTCATTCATTCATTCATTTGTCACGCTGCTTGGGTTCGAGCTGAGCGTTGCCCAGCTTAGACAGCCAGCATGGCAGTGGGAGAACAAAGCTCCTTGGAAAAACATCAGAACTTTTTTAGGTATTGGGTGCAGCCAAATCGATGATTTTAAACCACCAAACAGGCTCTTTTGGAGCCGTTCACTGGATGAGGAGGCAGAGGCCCCATCTCTCCAGAGAAAGCGACTCTGCCACGAATTTTCCTGCAGGATACATGCATGTGGCATAGCCACCTGAGCGCATGATCGCCACACCTTGCACTATTTCCTGCCATGGCTGCCAGTAACATTCACGAGGCATACGGCTGCAGATTTCAAATGATTTGCAACCTGCAGCCACATGCCTCATGTAAATGCAGGTGTAACATGGTGTAACTGTAATAGTGTAATCTTTGTTCAGAGTCACATCCCTCACCTGCAGATTTCCAATGGCACTTTTCATGATCAACTCCAGGTTGGCCTTGTTGCCCTGTATTGGAGCTGGTTCAACCACTAGCCTCCGGCTGGTCAGTCGCATTTCGTCATCCAAGCATTAATGGTGGAAACATGCATGGAATGAGATGGCATACCCCATGTTATGCCAAGGGCACTCTGGCTGGGAATGTAGAGAAGCTCAAAGTGGCGCTGGAAAGCATGAAAAAAGATGGCTTGCTTCAGCAATGAAGGAACTGCCGAACTGCCCGCATATTTGGCCAAGCCATTCTTGGGTGACATATGGGCAAGGACGCTTCCTTTACAGTGAAGGGACCGCATATGTGACATATGCGGTTCCTTCACTGTACAGTAAGCGTCCTTGCTCGTTGCGCATGGGAGACCTGGGCTGGGTCTGTACACAAGGCTGCTGAGCCACTCGGTGAGAGCTTCAACCTGGAGGACACCCAGCAGCTGAGTCCAAACATGCAACTGCCATCATCAGCAATGAACCCAAAGGGGCATTGCTTAAGCCAAGACGGCTATGGGCTATGGAAAATGCTTGTGATCTGCTGAAGATTCAAAATTCTGCTGTTTTCACCGCAGGTTGTGGGGTTCCCAAACAAATCATACAAATCTATACAAATCTCGCAAGGATGTCGCAAGTCCTTCCAGCTGGGGCCCGTACCTCCTGAAGGCTGATTTTGCGCCTCCTTCTTCGGGCTCGGTGCATCGTCTCAGGCGCAGCCCAGGAATTAACCATACGGTGGTGCTAGTGGTGCCCCAAATCCTTAGCTAAGGTGGTTTAGTTCACTATAGCTTAAGTTTATGATAGAACATCTATACTTAATGGGATTTACAAACCAACTTATAACTTGGGGGGCACCACCTTTTATGTGCCAACCAGGGGAGGACCTGGATTCTGTCTCCGACATGTCTAACCCCCCAAAAAAGTCAGCGAGGATGACACCCGGACCTTGTTCAGTCTCGTGCGCCAGTTTCTTCACCATTTCCTGGGGAGTTCTTCCCATGTCGTTGGATATTGAAAAAATTTCCCAGAACCCATGGATTCCACAGCTATGATTGTTGATTTGCTGGAGGGTAACTCCCAATTAAATCCAAAGTCTGTCCCCATATTTCACCAGTATATATAAATGATATAAATCAAAAGTAGATCTTTATATAATATATATATATATTATACACATACATATGTACATATATAATTACATAAATATATAAATAAACAATAGTAAACAATAATAAACAATAATAAACAAATATATAAATGTATACATAAAGAATCATAAAGATATATAAATTCAATAGAGATTCCTATAGTTTCTTGGCGACACGGGCTCCCACGTTTCGCGGCTACCGAGCCACCCCCCAGCGGGTGCCGCTGAGCACCCATAGCTCCAGGGTGCTGTTGGCACCGACCTCTGCCCGCAGCTCCAGTCCTAACAGAAATGCTGGATTTTTCATGACAATTTCAACCAACATAAATGTGATTGAACGGGATTTCACCTACATCAAATATCATAAAATGGAGGTTTCCATGGCATTTCTACCGAAAACATGTGATTTCATGGCAATTTAAGCTACAAAAAATGGTGGACTTGTGGGGATTGAACCAACAAAAACCGCTGATCAGGCATGATCCTCTGGATTTCTCTGGTAAGTTGACATAGCTATGGTATAGATGACCCGTTTATAGAATTTAGTTCGAATGTTTACTTCTGCAAAATACTGATTTTCCGCAGCTATCCTAAATTACAAGAGGGTTACAACTAAGTTACAACCAACAAATGGGGAATTTTAGGGGCCTCATAGGAGATATATTAATTATATAGCTATAACCAACTTAACATGATGACATGATTGAACACCCTGAAAATAGTCCCAATTATGTGTGGATCCCCCTACTAAACCCATTTCCGGGTTGTGCTGCTTCGGCGGATGGGAGTAAGATTATGGATCCATCATGTGAGCAACGGCCAAGAACCGATCGTAGTCGTAGCTCCCCAAAGTTGGAATTCAAGTGGCATCATTGAAGCGGTGGTTTCCGTTGAGTTTGCAACGTCCCCAGGGAAAAGCCTCGAATTCCCCCTCATCCAACCTGAAACCAACCTGCAGTGAAAAATCACCCCCTGAAACACAATGTACCCATTGAAAACAGCAGGAAAATTCCACTTCCACCATGTTTCATCCCTGTTTTGAAATAGAATCCCTGCAACTGCTCAAATAGGTAACCAGCATCACTGTGGGCTGGGCTTTCCATATGCCTCACCAATCCAATTGTCCAAACTGAACCCCCCCTTGTTGTTACAGCCCTATCTGGGTTTCACCCAAATTCCCCCAAAACGACTCGATTTTCAGGGTCGATCCCCAACATTCAATTCCGTTCAATCCAATTAAATCCCATAAAAAATCCCCTCAACCCCTCCTGAAATCTAAAAAATGCTTAAGGTTCAACTAACCCCCTTCCTTCAAATCTCGAAAAATCGCATTTTTGTGGCCAAATGGCGGATCCACGTCAGTCGATCAGTCATCATCTGCAGCTGCGGATTGTTGGCCACCCCAGGACCGCCGTCCAGTTGCCAGGTGCCCTGCAAGACGTGGGAGGTGGCCAGCGGCCCGGCCTGAAGCGAGGTCGAGGTATGGGTTGTGCCATGACATTTGATGGATGGCTTATCATCTGTGGGTCGTTGAACATGGGATGGTTGATGGTATATGATGGTATATGATGGTATATGATGGTATATGATGGTATATGGTTTTTGGTCATGCATCCCATAATTGGAATCTGATGGCTATATTAGTTTCTATGGATATTCATGGATTGATGACACTCCAACTATTGCCCATGGCACAGATGTAGAATCCAGTTGCTAAGTGGCACATCCAAGCTATTCCATCCTGATCATATCTCCACCTCTATATATGCGGAATACATCCAATACATTTCACCAGGGTTTCGTTTCCGGGCGATTGAATATGTGGGGGAAGGGATAAATTTCCTGCAGCAAGCTTGACAAGTTTCGTTTGGTCCAGATTGTTCCAAGATGTGAAGCTGAAATTGTCTTGAGGGGTGCCCTTTCTGCGCGGGGCTCGCGTTCCAACAACCCCTAGACTCCCCAGACTGGACCGGGACAAACACCAAAACAGCACCAGAAAGCCCAAGTCACTTCGATGGTCTCCTCTTCCTGCATGAAGGTTCGAATATCCTCCAAGATCTCGCGATCATATCTGGTTTCCTCGACCACCTGAGTATGGTGCAGCTCTAAATGTGTCAAATGATCGTTTCCATTTTGGGTGGCCTAAGTCACCAGCCAATTTGACCTCAAAACTTGTCATCTCATGTTTTCGGGGCCTAAATTCACCATCCAATCGGTGGGTTTGTCTGAAAATGCCCCAAAAAAAAATCCCTGTGTTTTATCATAAGATGTCCCCACCAAAATTGACAGTTTGGGGAGGAAATCCTCAATTTTTAGACATCACTGGGCGTCGTCTAAGGCACCGAGGCTTCCTCAGTAGCGCCATCAAAGGACACGCGCCCCGCCTTTCCCGCCTTTGGGGCAGCGCCCGGGCTTTGAAGGGTGGAAAATCCGCTGTCCTTGACGATGTCGCAGACCTCCCAAACGGAGAGGGTGTCCTCTGCGATGCTGTGATGCCCCGGGTGATCACAAGTCCCAAACCAGATTTAACACAAATTCCGGGCAGTGACCATCAAAATCGCTGGTCTTCCAACGGGTCCATGTTAGTTCGGGGGATCGGTTTTGATCCATACCCACATCATATTATTTGGATTTAAAAAAAAAAAACGTAGTTTCCTGGAGCTTTTTACTTAAATCAATCCATTGATTGCTCCATTCCCATATCATGGGTATTCAGCCAACCCCCCGTGACCCCGCCAATAAATCCAATAATAAGTGATTCATAAGCCTTTCTTCGTTGTTGGTTGATCGGGTGGCTGAATCCCCCAACACATGTGCCCAGCAGCGGCAAAGCTGGTGGTTCGTTGTTTGGCGTCGCGCAGCTTCTCGGGACCTTTCTGGGAGTTGATGGCATTCCGTTCCATGCTCTTGAACTTGGCATCATCATCTTGAATTGTTGAATTTCTTGAGGCAACTCAAAAAAAACATATTCCACACTACACCACCATCAAAGAGCTTCATCAAAGCCGTTCAATCTGTCCAAACACATATTGGTTCTATAATCACTATTTTGCTTTGCTGTGTTCAATACCCAAAAATCATCCTGGGGATTGGGATTAAAAAAAAAAACAATACTCAGAAGCATCATCCCTGAAGACCTTGAAGCGTAGCCATCACCCTATTGGTTGCCCCATTCTAAGTTGGTAGTTGGTAAGCTCCCAATCTGCCTTTCAGTTTTCCCATCATCTATCATCTATTGCTTGTATCAGTCCTCGTTTTCGTCGTTCAGACTTCCACCAGTGATATAACCCTCAAAACCAGTCCAAAACACCTCATGTTCTCAAAAATATCCGTTGCCATCGGGACCAAGTTCTTTACATCGACCATGGCAAGCTGGGTAATCCCAGAAAAATGGAGCCAAACAGTTTGCGAAAACTTCCCCTAAAAAACTCGCCATGGAGGATGTTCCCAGCACCGGTGCCTGTACCCAGGATGGGCTCCAAATCTTCCAGTGGCACCCCCACCGCTTTGAGCGTCCGCGGCTTTAGCGCTCGGCGCCGCCCTGTGAGGCGTGGCGCCATGTGTGCCATGGTGGCGCCGCTGATGGCGATGCTGCTAGGGGAAGGCTTTGGGTGTGTGGAAAAGGGAAAAGAGACCACGGAAAACTCTTGGAGTTGGAGAATTTTGGAACTTATTGTCGTTGTTTGTGTTTACCGATGTTTTCTTGGTCTTTTTTGGGAGGTGAAGCTGAAAAAGATGCCAAGGATGGGGCATTGATGGATTTCTCATCGTGTTTTCTGCTTAGGCAGATGTCTAAATGGGACTGAAAGCTGTGACGGAATAATGCCTTGGCCAGCCACCACGCTGGGTCCCAAGGTTTTAAGGACCCACGCTGGTCTGGTGGGGTCTTCCCGGCCGAGCCCAGGTGCTCCAAAAGTAAGGAAGTCAACACATATTTCGACCGCATGGAAGTCATCAATCAACAGGAAACCATGCTTTAAACCCAGCCAGCCACACGTAGAACCTACGGACCTCCTCGCTCTCCTGTTGCCGCATCCAAAGCTCTCATCGTTCCGGAAAAACCGAGCTGGAAATCTTAGATGCTACTAAATATACAATACATAGATATATATATATATACAATCGTATAGATAGATAGATCGATAGATCGATAGATCGATAAGATAAGATAGGATAAGATAAGATAAGATAGATAGCTAGCTAGCTAGATAAATAGATAGATATATCTATAGATAGATATATCTATAGATAGATAGATAGATAGATCGATAGATAGATAGATAGATCGATCGATCGGTCGATAGATTGACATATCGATAGATCGATAGATTGATAGATCGATAGGTAGGTAGATAAATAGATAGGTAGATAGATAAGTAGATAGATAAGATTAGATAAGATAAGATTAGATTAGATTAGATTAGATAGATAGACAGATAGATAGATAGATAGACAGGTAGATAGATAGGTAGATCAGATAGATAGGTAGATTAGATAGATAGATAGATTAGATAGATAGGTAGATGAGATAGATAGGTAGATTGGATAGATTGGATAGATAGATAGATAGATAGATAAATAAATAGATAGATAGATAGATAGACAGACAGATAGATGGATAGGATAGGATAGGATAGGATTAGATTAGATTAGATAAGATAAGATAAGATAGATAGCTAGCTAGCTAGATAGATAGATGAGATAAGATAAGAGAAGATAAGATAGAATAGGATAAGATAGGATAAGATAGGATAAGATAGGATAAGATAGGATAAGATAGGATAAGATAGGATAAGATAGATAAGATAGATAAGATAGATAAGATTGATAAGATTGATAAGATTGATAAGAAGATAGATAAAAAGATAGATAAGAAGATAGATCAGAAGATAGATAAGATAGATATAGATAGATAAGATAGATAAGATAGATAAGATAGATACGATAGACAAGATAGATAGGATAGATAGGATTAGATTAGATTAGATTAGATTAGATTAGATTAGATTAGATAGATAGATAGATAGATAGACAGATAGACAGGTAGACAGATAGACACAGACAGATAGATAGATAGATAGATAGATGTACTTGTCTAATTCCATGTCAGGTACATGTTTTTACATGTTTTCTGGAGGTCCCTTGACAAAGTGTCACAGAAAGCCTTGAAACTGCGGTCCTTTCCATTGCTGAGTTTGGCCTCAAAAATCTGGAGAGTACATCCTATCTTGGCTGTTCCTTTACGATCCCACACAGAGGGCCCCGAAAACATACACAAGTGCCTAATTACATATATATATACATATATATATATATATACATATATATATATATACATATATATATATATACATATATATATATACATATATATATATGCATAATTATGTATATAAATGCATAATTATGTATATAAATGCATAATTATGTATATAACAAAAAAAAACAGATAAACCCCAATTTGCCTTGTTACAAACCAGCATACCTATCTGGGCGCCCAAACAATGACCCTCTTTAGCCGAGCCCTGCTGATTCCCCCACAGACCTCCACCAGGTAGGTGTCACGCATAGAACGCCAAGCCTGTGGATTCAACGGTGATTTTTTGGAAGCTAAATATCGTACCATATCAAAACCCAGTTGGTACGGGGTATCTCCATGTATCTCCTATGTATATAAATATATATATATATGCAATTTTATGCATATGTATATTATATATATATGTATATATATGCATGTATGATCATGTATGTATATTTATATAGATACAACAAGTGGTTGACAACTGGTCAACATCTACCATATAACTCCTTCGACCTGGAGGACTTTTTAAGTGTGCCTGCAAAAAATCACGCCATGGTCTTACCTTCGCTCTGAAAACAGGGTACCCCCTAAACAGGTTATATAAGTTATATATACATAATCATTGTGATCCTATCAAAATGGCCATGGCCAATTTGCGGGTATACCGACAGGCCCATTTGCTGACCCACTTGTGGTCCGCAATTCCTCCATTGAAGCATCTTCCCCCCGCACCTCGATAAACAAAGCGCAGTTGAGGAAGAGCACAGTGATTCCAGACCAGTTCTCGGCAGATGGATGGACCAATAGCTTTCTGTCTCATCAGAACCGCTCACCAAATATCACACTGCCTCCGCGTGGTATGGTCTCTTGGCCTCGCCTCGTACATGTAAATCTGGGCACTCCAGTCATGAAACAGAACCTTCGGGGCACGCTTCTTTTCACTGCAACTGAGGCATCAAAGGGCTTGAACCCAAAAAGGGTAGATAGTAGATACCGCAAAATCTCCTGCTTCACTATCATTTTTCCTCATATTTCAAAGGGTACTGTACCCCCCCGTGTTTACATTCCAACGTGCTTCCCATTTATTGTTGGCAAATCCCCGGCAAAATCACCTACAAAATCAACAAACAAAAAATCACTGGTGAAGAAAAAACGAAAAAATCGTCCAATCAAATCCCTTCCAAAACAAAAAAAACGAAGGTCCATGAAGGTCCCATTGGCATTGACCCATCTTCACCTGTCCCTCACCGTGAAAGCTGTCGCGGACCTCGTGCAATTCGCACAAGATGGAGACCAGAATCATCAGCAACACTGCAGCCACGATCAACTGCCTGGAGATCTGCACGAAAAAGAGGCCTGGGGCCCCTGTGCCTACCATAGCTATATAAGTTGAGATATAAGTGGCTGAATTCTATGGTTTATGGTACAACATACCATCCTATGGTACAACACACCATCCAAGCCACCAAGCCTACCTTTTAGGAACAGAAAAGTGCGGGTCAAGCGGGTCAAGCGGGTCAAGCGGGTCAAGTGGGTCAAGTGGGTCAGGTCACTGGATTGTTTGGTGGTTCTGAAGTTTACGCAACATTAGTACCCATATCATGTTACCCTCTGGTTATTTAACATAGCCATGGAAAATGGCCCATTTATAGATGGTTTACCTATTAAAAATGGTGATTTTCCATGGCTATGTTAAATAATCAGATGGTATCTGAAAATGAACGAAAATGACCAGTCCATGGGGCAGTGAAACCAAGAAATCTTCAACCCATCCAAGATATTGAAGATGTTTCTCGCCTCTGCAAGAGCTGCTGCGGGGAGTAAAACAACGCCCATCCTCAGCCGCTGATTCGGATCTACAGACTCTTCACATGGATGAAAATCAAGATGTACCCTCTGGTTATTTAACATAGCCATGGAAAATCACCATTTTCAATAGGTAAACCATCTATAAATTGACCATTTTCCATGGCTATGTTAAATAACCAGAGGGTATGTGTTGGACTCACCTTTGGATAGTTGAGGCTCACCAGAAACGCAGACTTCGCTGAGGTGCCCCCACCTTTGGCAAGCAGCAATTGCAATATTGACATCGATGCCTGGAGCATAGTAGACTGGTATCAGTCAAAAGTGGATAGGTCAAAGTCAAAGATTCGATGGCTTATGTTTGTCTACTTATGTATAAATACATATATATATATTACTATATATTACTATATATTACTATATATTACTATATATTACTATATATTACTATATATCCGCCGACCCCTGCCTAGCCTTGGCCCAGGCGGGGCGGCGCCTGGGATCACCGCAGGTGTGCGGCTTTGGCCTGCTAGGACCTCGGCCTGCACGGTCCACCAGACACCAAACCCTTTGCTACTGCCTTCCCAAGTCACCGCGAACACGTTGCCCTGCAGCGGCAGCCCTTTGCCAGCGCTTGGCCATGTCGCCATATTGCCATACCCCACTCCATCCATATGTAGAGGGTGACAAAACCTGCGCGAAGCACGGTCCATCAGGACACAAGACCCCTCTGTGGGCCTTTACCGCTTTGCTGCTGCCTTCCCAAGTCACCGCGAACACGTCGTTGCCCTGCAGCGGCAGCCCTTTGCCAGCGCCTGGCCGTGTTGCCATACTCCATTTAGAGGGTTTCAAAACGTGTGCGAAGCACGGCCCATCACGACACAAAACCCGTCTGTGGGCCTTTACCGCTTTGCCGCTGCCTTCCCAAGTCACCGCGAACACGTTGCCCTGCAGCGGCAGCCCTTTGCCAGCGCCTGGCTAGTCGCAATACTCCGTTCAGAGAGTTAGAGGGTGACAAAACCTGCGGGAAGCACGGTCCATCAGGACACAAGACGCCTCTGTGGGCCTTTACCGCATTGCCACTGCCTTCCCAGGTCGGTAACCTGCGCGAAGCACGGGCCATCAGGACACAAAACCCCCGTGTGGGCCTTTACCGCTTTGCCACTGCCTTCCCAGGTCACCGCGAACACGTTGCCCTGCAGCAGCAGTCCTTTGCTAGCGCCTGGCCAGTCGCCATACTCCACTCCATTTAGAGGGTTTCAAAACGTGCGCGAAGCACGGCCCATCACGACACAAAACCCGTCTGTGGGCCTTTACCGCTTTGCCGCTGCCTTCCCAAGTCACCGCGAACACGTTGCCCTGCAGCGGCAGCCCTTTGCCAGCGCCTGGCTAGTCGCAATACTCCGTTCAGAGAGTTAGAGGGTGACAAAACCTGCGCGAAGCACGGTCCATCAGGACACAAGACCCCTCTGTGGGCCTTTACCGCTTTGCTGCTGCCTTCCCAAGTCACCGCGAACACGTTGCCCTGCAGCGGCAGCCCTTTGCCAGCGCCTGGCCATGTCGCCATATTCCATTTAGAGGGTTTCAAAACGTGCGCGAAGCACCGCCCATCACGACACAAAAGCCGTCTGTCGGCCTTTACCGCTTTGCCGCTGCCTTCCCAGGTCACCGCACACACGTTGCCCTGCAGCGGCAGCCCTGTGCCAGTGCCTGGCCATGTCGCCATAATCCATGTACCGCCTTGCCACTGCTTCCCCCTGTCACCGCGAACACATTGCCCTGCAGCGGCAGCCCTTTGCCAGCGCTTGGCCATGTCGCCATATCGGCATACTCCACTCCATCCATTTAGAGGCATTTAGAGGGTTTCGCAACCTGCGCGAAGCACGGGCCATCAGGACACAAAACCCCCGTGTGGGCCTTTACCGCTTTGCCACTGCTTTCCCAGGTCACCGCGAACACGTTGCCCTGCAGCAGCAGTCCTTTGCCAGCGCCTGGCCAGTCGCCATACTCCATTTAGAGGGTTTCAAAACGTGCGCGAAGCACGGCCCATCACGACACAAAACCCGTCTGTGGGCCTTTACCGCTTTGCCACTGCTTTCCCAAGTCACCGCAAACACGTTGTCCTGCAGCAGCAGCCCTTTGCCAGCGCCTGGCCAGTCGCCATACTCCATTTAGAGGGTTTCAAAACGTGCGCGAAGCACGGTCCATCAGGAAACAAAACCCCTCTGTGGGCCTTTACCGCTTTGCCACTGCCTTCCCAGGTCACCGCGAACACGTTGCCCTGCAGCAGCAGTCCTTTGCCAGCGCCTGGCCAGTCGCCATACTCCATTTAGAGGGTTTCAAAACGTGCGCGAAGCACGGCCCATCACGACACAAAACCCGTCTGTGGGCCTTTACCGCTTTGCCACTGCCTTCCCAGGTCACCGCGAACACGTTGCCCTGCAGCGGCAGCCCTGTGCCAGCACCTGGCAATGTCGCCATACTCCATTTAGAGGGTTTCAAAACGTGCGCGAAGAACGGCCCATCACGACACAAAACCCGTCTGTGGGCCTTTACCGCTTTGCCACTGCCTTCCCAGGTCACCGCACACACGTTGCCCTGCAGCGGCAGCTCTGTGCCAGTGCCTGGCCATGTCGCCATAATCCATTTACCGCCTTGCCACTGCTTCCCCCGGTCACCGCAGCGCCTGGCCATGTCGCCAGAATTCATTTAGAGGGTGTCAAAACCTGCGTGAAGCACGGTCCATCAGGACACAAAACCCCGCTGTGAGCCTTTACCGCTTTGCCACTGCTTTCTCAAGTCACCGCGAACACGTTGCCCTGCAGCGCCAGCCGTTTGCCAGCGCCTTGGCGCTGCCACGTGGCAATAATCCATTTCCTTCTCTCCAGGTTCACTCCATTGCCAGCGCCTTGCCAAGTCACAGACCTGTCTCTATTGGGTTTGGTCTTGCCATGCGTGTCAGAAGCTCCGTTGGGTTCCTTACCTTGCTACCCACCTTTCTCGTTCACAGGGCCGTCCAGATGGTGCGCTATGCTTGACGTGGATTCGTCCGGTAGCACGTGCTGACCACACAACCGTCCCACACAGTGGGCACTTGTGTGCAGGATAACATCGGATAACATCGGATAACCATGGCCCTCCAAATGGGGGTCGGCGGCACCAGGGCGTTAGCCCATTTATTACTATCAATAAGACACACACTTTCCAAATGAGAAAATATATGGTCACCTGAGCGTCGTCAAATTTCGCCTTGGCCACGGCCACCAGTCCAGTGCCGGCCACCTGCGAGCCGGCCGTCCCGTGTGGAAAATGAGGACTTAACCAGCAAAAGTGGTGATTTTACCATCAAAAATGGCGACAAAAACAAGAATTTACATGGGTTTGTCTGAAAATTGTGAGGAAACCCCGCAAAAAAATGCATTGGTTGATCATGATTCTGCCTATCAAAATGATTCCAAATGATCATTTGCGGGTATCTCCCAGTTTCAGACAGACTCATCTTGGTGGATATTTATGGGAGGCTCCCTCGTCAACCATCGGAATCAAAAGTTGCCATCGCCGTAGGGTGCCCCTGGGATGCCCTGGCCTGCATGGCCAAGAGGCCGGTCCCATCCGAGGCGAAAACCGCCCAGTGCAGACAGAAGCAGCAGGCACCTTGCAAGGCGCAAGGCATGGTGGCTGTTGCTGGAAATGTCCATCTGGGATCTATGGGATCTATGGGATCTATGGGATCTATGGGATCTATGGGATCTATGGGATCTATCACCTAGAACCGGAAAAAAAAAACAGGGGTATCAAACCCAGAAAGGAAAAAGGTTGACTGTTTGACATCAAAAAGTGGTGACTGTTTGACTCTTCATGTGGGATTTGCGGAAATGAAGCTGGGGATATTGACAATCAGCCAGTGGAGCAGCGAGCCAATTCAGATCTGATGCAGCTGGTGGCACTGGCTGCAAGGGCACTGGCGTATCTTGGGGTTTAACTAGTGGAATTTTACCCGATGATAGGTACTCGAAATATGTAGCTAAATGTTTCTTTAAATCAAATCCTTTTTTGCTCGCCACATAGCAATTTTCTTTGGTAACATGCAGTCGTGCACGCGCTTTGATTTGGATTACTGTATGGGTCCTGTGACCTGTCTGAAGCAGCATCCATTGCCCGGGCCTATGGCAGAGCATGCGGCAGAAATCAGCAAAATCCTGACATGAGCAGTTGGCCGTTTCTGAAGCTCTGGAGCCAAAGCACAAATGTGGTTTTAAGCAACCATCTTTATGGGGACTAAATGGGATATAATGGGACATATAATGGGACATATAATGGGATATAATGGCATGTGTCGGATATGCTATCAACAGTATGACATGGATTAGTCTCAAAATGTGGAGATACAAACCCTCCAAAACGGCAATTCTAGTGACAAAGTTGATGACAAACCATCAACTGTTTAGGGTACAATATTGTGAGAGCCCAATTCTAACTGTACTTGTAATAACGAAATTGATGATAAACCATCAAAGTTGGGTCGTACCATATTTTGAAACAAAGCCACATGTTGCTGCTCCCAAAAAAAGACTTTGGCCTAGCTTTTCCATGGGCTACCAGTAGAAAAGCTGACTATTGGAAGGTCGTGGACAGAAAGAAGACTCAAAAAACAGCGCTGCAAAATAGGCAACGATGTTTGCATGTGCTTTTTGCGGTATATTCAACTTTGAAAAACCACTTGATGCCATTCGAAAAAAATCGAATGAATGCCCGGGCAATTTCCCTAGCCATCACTACCTGCCTGAGCAAAGGTCGGGCCCGCAGAGCCTATGGCAGTTTGCCCAGTCTGCCCAGTGTTCATCCCGTAGAACCACCATGGTTTCTGGAAGGGATCCATATCATCTTCTTGGTGATACCCTCTGGTAATGACTAACAGACATAGCTATTGAAAATGGCCCAGTCGAAATAGTGAATTTTCCCATTAAAGATGGTGATTTTCCATAGCTATGTAAACGTTTACCAGGCCGGGTATCCCATTGTCTGCCCACAAAAATCCCATTGCCTCCTCATTTCTCCATGGAAACATCTGGCAGATACCTTATATCTGGTTGGTGGTTGACTAACCATCTTGAAAAATGACGGAGTGAAAGTCAATGGGGTTGGGATGACATCCCATATATATATATATGTGAAATTGAAAAAAAAAATGTTCGAAACCACCAACCAGATATCTATATTTAATAAGATAATGATAAGAATAACTAAACCATGCAGCTGATTGCTTTGCTGTCGATTCCCTATGCAGGGGTTGGTCAATGTCCTGAAAAAGTACAAGTAGAAGAAAAAAAGGTTGGGTGCTGTAAAAAAAAAGACGTTTCATTATCATCATTCATATTGTACAATGGTTGGTTATATCCCATCAATGTATTTATAGTTATCGATGACTGTGCGTTAACATCCATATGAATATCCAAGCTCCCATTAGTATCCCATTATATCCCATCGATATCCAGTAATGCATATCCAATATCCCACTAAGTCCCATTAAGTCATCATTATATCCCACAAAAATTCCCATTTTATGAATAGAAAAACCCTATTTATAGCAGAAAAACCATTGAATCTCCAGCGACCAATGGACCAAGCTCTGCCATTCTCAGTCCTTCACCGCACCTCAGAGCCCGTGGCCTTCCCTGAAAGACGCAAGGCCAAGAAGAGACCTGGGAGCTGCCAACTTGGCGAAAGTTGGGTGATGTCGTGGGAAAGTCATGGCGATTTGAATGGGCATTTCATCATTTAATGGTTGAATGGCGATTTCATGGGAAATTCATGAGATTTAATGGGAATTGAATGGTGATTTAGTGGGATCTAACGGAAGATCGTGGGAATCTAAGGTGAATTAATGGGTTTTAAAGGGAGTTGATGGTGATTAATGTGGATTTAAACCAATAAGAATGGGAATAATAACGGGATATCTACAGTTATAATTTTAATATGGACAATAATGGATATATATATACACATATATAGTAAATCAATTGGTGCTATTGAAGCCATGGCCCATCGAAAGGAAAACTCCGGGATTGAAGCTAACATGAGGATGTGATCAGCACGGAAATGTGCTAGGCCAGTGGTGTTACCAGCACTTTAAAGGGTGATCTCTGGCTGAGAAATCGAGTAGTGAAACAGCCGCTGTAGAAATGAAACGTCTAAAAAGGCAACATCATTTTGGCGAAGTCTGATCTTGTAACAAAATGTAGGAAGGTGATGTTGAAAAAAACAAAGCTGATTTGTTCCAAACAAAAAATAACTATGTTATTGGTTCACGTGATTTCATATTGTGCTATCCTTGCAGTATTCAAACAAAACACATCACAGCTTCATATTTTATATATATATATACATACATACGCTCTAACAACATGAACGCAGACCCAAAAGAAAAGTGTTGTCTGACATATTGTGTCAGGCTGAATTACAATAAAATAATTCACCAACCTGAAAATCGCTGGCGGTTCAAGCCAAGGGACCTAGAAAACCCGACGAAGCAGCAACCTCGACTCCACCAAGCCGAGCCATGACTGCGTCCCACAAATGTCATGCCCCGAACAATGGCCTTCAAAAATGGGGACTATGAGGATTTTTACTGGATCATAGCCTTCAAAAAATGGCTTAACATATGAAGATAAACCTGAGATCAAAAACCATAGATTTTTGGGGCCCCATTTTTCAGACCCATCCACTGGGGCAGAGATGGGCCATCGGATCGCCGTGATTTTCCGACGAGTTGGGGTGTCAAACTTTGCGAATCGCACGACTCGTCGCGACTTGGGAAAGAAAAACATGAAATTTTATGGTGGTTGAAACAGAATATAACTAGTATGTTCACTTTTAATCACTATTAATCACTATTAATCACTAGTGCTTGAGATTCCACTTTTGGTTCTTAAAACCCCGGTGGTACATTCATTTTGGGCTTATGTCCCGGCATGTTTTAGCCATTTCTTCGCCATGGAACTTTCAAGAGCAAAGAGCCTTGCTGGTCCATGCCGAATTCGCTTTCAAAGCCCTCAGCATGGAGGAGGTCCAAATCAATGAAAAACCATGGAGTTGTGTTCCCACTGATGGCCATCAATCCATGTTTAGATAAACTTAAATTCACCGTTGATGTTTGGATATACATGGCACATGTCGTTCAAAGCATGAAACCTCTCGTCCCAGCCACTGATTGGGTGACTTGGTGAACCCCAGTCCATCCCCACCTGCAGGATGTTTTGTGCGTGAATCTCAAAGAAGGGTGCGACAACCTGAGAACCCCACGACTCCCACTGGTTCAGATCATGGTGTAGATAGTGAAGCACGGTCTAAAAAAAATGCATCCATGTGTACTGAGAACTTGCTTGACCTGTCAAATCGGTCTTCTGTGCCATTTGACTTGATGGTTCACTCCAGTTAGTCAGTCGGCTATAACTTATATATGCGTAACTTAAAACCCCAATTACTTCAGCTGGGTAAGTAGACTAGTCCAGTTGTAATTGTAACCTACCTTACCGCCTGGGGTGAACCACCACGTAGAACCCTAACCACCACCAGCACGCGCCCAAAATATGTCAATGGGGTGTCGCCAAGGTGCTACATCCACCCCACAAGCTGCAAAAATGAAGTACCTCGTCGTCAACAAAAAAAGTACCGGTTAAGCTGGCAATGAGTAGGCTGAAAAAAACAATTTCAATGATCTGGATATATGAATCATCACTCTCAGTGGAGCATGTTCAAATTTGGCAGTACGGTGCGTTTGCTGGTGGGGCCCGTCTCGTTTCATCGGGGTCTTGGCCCCAACGCAAACAGCAGCGGCAGCAAGAGTAAGTTATCATCATTGAGGACCTTCAAAGAAAGCCACCAGTCAATTTGGGGGGTTGTATTTCGGACCACCGAAAACATTCAGACTTTGGAGTCAGTCCGTATTTTGTTTAGGCACGCCGATAGTTGCTTCGCATCACCAGTGACATTTGTCATGCGAAAAAAGGCCGTTTCGGCGCACCAGAAACGAGGACGAATGCTCTCGGTGATGTTCTCTGTCCTCAGATCTGTGGGGCCCCTGGCTCCACATAGCAACGGTGAAATCATAACGTGGTCAATCTTGTTACATGATGTTCTATGTGGTGTTGAATGGTGGTAACCACAATATGATGTATTATGATTCATGATCCCCCAAAGCTTATTGTATATGGTCAATTAATGTCAATTATGATCATAATTGGGGTCAATTATGATCATTAATGTATTAGCTTATTGTATTATGATTCATGATCCCCCAATTATGATATTTTATGTGGTTTTGAATGATCCCCTAATCTTTCCCCTCTGGTTGATGGCTTGGTTTCCACCCAGGCGCCCCCTGAGACCCAACAACCGAAACTCCTCGCGCTCGTATAAGGTGATGGGCACCGCCTCGAAAACGAATCGGCTTCGGTTGATTTTTTCAACGGATCTGATGCGGTTGAAACACCTCACACTGTTTCTGGACGAGGGAGTTTCGAACAAAATCATGTTTTTGTCAGCAAATATTGCGGATTCGGTTTCCTTCATCCAATTCTGGTAGGCCAGCTTCTCAATTGGAAAGGAAAACCATTTTTTTTGCTGTTTTTCGGCACTGGCAAAGTCACCCCTCAGCACCACACCCAGCTGGCACTGTCCAACATCTCCTGAAGCACAGCTGATTTAAGTGGTTGAAAAACCCTGAAAAATGTGAATCATCAGGGATCCTCATCCTTAACCATCAAAAAAATGATGGAAAAACTGCCACTAAAAACAGTGATGAATTACTTTGTTATGTTTAAGGGGAGATTGCTATGTTTGAAACCCATTGAAACCCGGAAGATGATTATGGAAAACCTGAGATCGCCTCGCAAGTCATCTGGCCGAACTCATTTCGAGCAAGCTGCCCGTGCGCCTGGAAATTTGGCCACTAACAGGGCCACGTGAAAACCGCCCGATCCCAAGGATCCCAATGTTGGTGAAATCCCACGGTCAAAAAATCACCAGATGGTGGTTCTGGTGAAGAATGTGAATTATTCTTGGTGGTTCAAGGCAGATGATGGTTTTCACATCAGATTCTGCTTGGTTGGTACCCTCTGGTTATGTCAAAATAGCTATGGAAAATCACCATGCTATTAATGGGAAAATCAACTATAAATGGTGATTTTCAATAGCTTTTGGTATGTTTACCAGAGGGTAATTCCCATATATATATATATCCCATATAAATCCCATACTCAATGCCATCGAAGGTCCCCCACGGTTGCAGTCAAGTGTCATTCCCGCATGGAACTACGTCCCCCAACTGCTAGGAAAAGTCACCCCAACTTCTTCGCCCATTGTAAACGCAGCACGAACATGAAAAAGTACAAAAAAAAACTATCATCCCAAATGTGCAAAACACAATCAGAACGCAAGTCACCCCAATGGTCTTAAACTATAAAAAATTATCAAAAAAACGATATATTTTGATAGCCAAACACCATGTGAACGCATGATTCATGTATGTTTGGGTAGAATATCTCTTTTGTTACAAAACGCATCTAATTCGATTTTTAAAGTGTAACAAGTACATCTAAGAAATGTCATCTTTTGGATCAAAACACAATGTGAACGAATGATTCATGTATGTTTTGGCATGTTTTGGTAACAAATCTATGGGGTTCCGAACCGAGGCCAAAAACGAGGCCAAAACGAGGCCCGAACGAGGCCAGAAAATAGCTTTGGAACCCCCTCAGCTTTAGCAGCAGTACCACCAGCCCGGCAGCAAGTCTCTAGAGCAGGAGTCTAGAAGCAGTCTGGCAGCAGCTCAGCACCGCAGCCATTTAGTATCAGCCCGACAACAGCCTAGCTGCAGGCCAGCATCTACTGTAATTAGATGAATCGATGCAACTACTCTAGAAAGGCACCACCCCCGGCAAGGCGACATGTAAACACGTGACTGGATTTGCTTGAAGGTCACATGAATGAGCCAGGCATGACAAAAAAACAAGTTCACCAGTGTAAACACAAGTTAAATGAAGCAAAATTTGCTTCTAAAGCATCGTTTTCTATCTTACGCAACTGATCCACAGCAAGTAAACGCATGTTGGGGCGACTTTCCTGGGAAGTCCCCCCCAACTAAACGCAGGATTTGGATCGGGCGGGGTGAGTTCACTATAATCGAGCATAAATCCCATATAAATCCCTATAAATCACCATTTTCAATAGCTATTTTGACATAACCAGAGGGTATTCCCACTGTGGGTGATGAAAAAATCCACTGATTTTCGCCTGGCGTGAAGGCGCCTCTTCATCATCGTAGACAATCAGGTAGAGGCGGCCAGATCCCTGCCATCGTTGATAGGCAAATCATCGAACTAAATGGGTAATCTATAGCATTGCTATTTATATATATATAACTATATATATATAACTATATATATATAACTATATATAATTATATATATATACACATATGTTGGTTTACTGGGTATCACATTCCCCGTTGAAACATTGATATTTAGGGCTAAATACTCCATTTCTGGACAAATTCACGACTTGCGCTTGGGTATGGGTTCCTTCCACCTGGTACTCTGCTGTTCACACCAAGATAGCTGGAAAATCGATGGTTCATCCCCCCAAATGGACAAAAAAACATAAGTGTTGGATAGTTTTGGCCCATCCCCAGTGAAAGTGTTTCTCTGTCTCTGGCAGACATGTTCCATCATGTTCCTCTCCATCTCTTGGAGGAAAAGTCAGCAGCATTTTTCAGGTGGAGGACATCCCCAAGATCATGGAGCCCTTGGGAAAATGCCCAGGAAACCCCAACCCCCTCACCCGGCCACACCTCAGGCGATGGTTCAACTCGGCCGCGAAGGAGCACCTCTTGGGAGTTCACCAACTTGCGATGAGCCAAGCACCAGGTATAGATGATTTTCAACAGTTCATTCCAACCATTCAATTCCAACTGTTCATTCCAGATTTCAACAACTTTGGTTGGAATGATGATGTTCACCAACATTAGGAAAGGGAAGATGGTTGGATTTCACCCATCCAACATGTGATTTTTTTCGGGATGTTTGAAGCAAGATGGGTTGGACTCACCGGAACTCTGCGAAGGATTGGTCAACTCACCGAAAATTGACTGAGCCACTTGGGCTGACGTCACTGGCAAGGCTATTATAGGGAGTTGACCAACAGGAAGGATTATAAGCAATCAAAATGAGAATCTGGATGGCTTTAGCCTGCCCAAGAAGTGGATTTTACATGTGAAACATTAGGACTTAGGCGGCAAAAGTTGAAAAGAGGCAGGAAAATCATACCCAAGGCACCTGTACTTACTGTACCTGTTTCTGGATTCTGCCTCAAATAAATTACAATAACCTCATCCATTTGGGCCCCATGTTTTTGATCCACGCCCATATGGCGTTCAAAGGTGAGCAATTCATCTGTGGTCCCCCATGGCCAAGAGTGCTACCCTGCTACCCCCGCCTCAACGTTGCCCACAGCAGGAAGTGCCTGGCATGAGAAATTCCCTAAAAACCGGATGTCCGCCCCAGTAGTTTGTTGGGTCTGAAAATGAGGTTCCACCCTCAATGTATGGCCTTCTGAATAGGAAAAGGGAGATGTTTTTCCCAGAAATTCAGAGATAGATGATCTTCAGGCAAACAAACCATGGTTTTTACTCCCAAATGCCCTACTATAATCCTCCGAAAGCAAACCTGTTCAGCATGGGCATGCTCCATTGATGGGAGCACATCCCTAAGAGAAAATAGGGATCACAGGACCCAAAAATGGGACGGTTTCAACTGGGCTTTGAAATGTGACCAAAATAAAACATCTCCTCTTTCTTGAAACCCTATCATCCCCATAATTTGTTTCTCAACTACTTAAATCTGCAGTTCTATTGGTCAAATCTCTGCCAGTTGTTGCAAAATATCCCCCCGGTTTTTGGATGGTCCAATCCCACTTCGTACTAAATTTGGCAAACTCACAATCTGCATGATGGGATTCCCCCAATGGATTCACCATCACAATTAGTAGATTCAAACACCGAAGCAATTTCACCAGCCCCCCATCTTCTTGCGTTGCGTGCGCTCGCAATGCAGGTGCTGTGGCGAGAAAAGTCCCCACTGAAGTGATGTGTTTACTGGAAAATGAAATCTTTGAACAAACACTTTTTGCAAGACGTTTCTACCATTTTTTTTTCGACGTTCCTGGATAGAGGTGACTTTCTGATCTGGCCATTCTTGCCGCAGCTCATTGGCTGCGTTTTTTTTAATGTTTCGCTGTCATGGGGTAAATTGGACCCAACTTTGGGACCAAGTCATTTTTCAATCTAGCATGAGTCGGAGGTAAGATCCTTCCCCAGATTCGATATGTATATACCATGTGCATGTGTATATTGAAAATTTGTTGATTCATTGTACATTGATTCATTGATCAATTGATTGGTTGGTTAGTTGATTGATTGATTGGATTGATCAATTGACCGATTGATTGGACCGACTGATTGAATGATGGATCGGATCGGATCGGATCGGATCGGATTGGATTGGATTGGATTGGTTCATTCATTGATCAATTGATAGACCAATGATGAGATCTCCTCATAGCTCTCGGTCGCTTGACCCAAAGATCTGGCGCTTTAAATGAGCTCCTCGTCCGGTGGAAGCTGCCTGCAAGCTGGTCCAAGTAGAGGGGGACATGCCAAATATCGATTACTCAATGGGAAAGGGAAAATCATCCAGAAATGGTAGTTTTTCCATTACAACCCTTCATTACCGGAGGGTATATACATTACATGACATACTCTTTTCTTGCAGGCACCAACAACCCAGGATTGGACATGGAAAATTATGAAAACAGAGGTGAGATGAATCACATCGAGTTCTGAGAAATTCAAACAACAAGAAATTGGGATGCAGTGCTAGCTCCTGAATTTGAAATGGACTAAACTCGAATGTCCCCAGAGACTTCAGTTGCAAGCACTCTAAAAAAACATCTAAATGCGCATGTAGGCTCTAGAATTTAAGATGGCTAGCTGGGATAATCATGAATCTATGTTTTTCCATCAAGCCAAAATCAATTACTGGGGGTATACTCCCGTCTCAGTGATGCCGAATCCAGTCCCAAGGGGCGAGAGAACCCAGAAGTCAACCGCATAGCTCCCCACCTTACGGACGACTGGGCTGGGATCTCTGAGATCTCTGCTGCCGGTTGATTCGTGGCTATGGAAAACATGGGAAAACTGGGATAGTCCCGTTGTATCCGAAGAAATGGGCCCCAACGATGTCCCGTTGTCATTTTTTCTTTTGAGCCTCCGGGAATCTCTGGGAATCCATCAAACATGGCCGGAACATCTTCTTGGGGAGAGATATTTGTATAATTATGTATATATATATGTATATAATTATATAAGCAAATCGCCCTTTTTTGCCAAGCCGTGTCAATTATATATATATATATATTTAGATTACATACATGAATATTGATCTAAAAATGTCCCAACTTCCATATCCCATGGCTGGGATCCCCTGCGAAAATCAGATAGGTCAACATCAGCCCCCACCTTAGTGCGGTGCCACGATACGTGCCACGGTGTTCACATTGTTCGGAACGGCTTGAGACTTCAAAAGCATTCAAAAATTGGATTTTAATGGGATTTAATGGAGATTAATGGATATTACAGTAATGAGATTCGAATGGGATTTCATGGAATTCGAATATAGATTCAGTTGATTACCTCCGGTGTCATCAAACATGGCTAGCTGGAAAATGCCCGAATTAAATGGTGGTTTAGTGCTTGGAAATTCATCGATAAATTGCCACGTTTGATTACCGGTTATAGCAACTGGGATGGTCTTTAGTCCCTTTAGTCTTCATATTCTCTCTCTTGGATGTGCATCCCAGGAATCGTAAATGGCTCATAACCAGTACCCCACCTAAAAAAAAGGAATATGCCCAGGTTACAATATGGTCATAGATGGCTCAACTTAAAACAACCAGTTACGATCCAAGTACCCAGCAATTTTGTCAGCTGATCAATGTCTTGGGTTCCCAAGATGACAACATGACAATCCACGATCCACTCCAGTCGTGCTTGCGGTGAAACTCAAACAGATTCAACGTACCTTTTGATCAAAATGTATCAACTGTAACAAACATCAACAAAGTAATTCTGATATGTCTCCTGATATTTGGTTTCTGGTTTCAATATTAATAAAATTAATTGTGTCCCTCAAGATTAATAGTGTCCTTCCGGGACGGGTGTGGGCCCAAAGGTTCATTGGGGGTTTTAGCAAACTTATGGTTAGGGTTTCTTTGGGGTTTCTTTAGGGTTGGTTGAGGGTTGTTTTGGGTGGGTGATTTTGGTGTTTTTTCGGTTGACGGATTGTTAAGGGTTTGGGTCTAAGGCTCAAAACACTGGAAATTACGTATGCTTAAGAAATAGTTCAAAAAGTGATTTTGGCACCGCATTGGGTAAGCGCCAAAATGTGGCGAGACACATGCAATATCAACTTGTTTGCATGCAGTTTGTGATGCGAAGCACCCCGAAGCAAGCAACCAGCAGATTGCAGTCCCTCTCGGAATTCCGTCGATTTCGGGCAAACTTCAGCCCCTTAGCGAATAATGTCTAGTAATATTACAATTGCAATTTTCTCCACCCCAATCCGACCTTTGAGTTGAAGAATATACCATCAGCCAGGGCCTTTTTCATCTTCGTGCCTAGGGGCTGCAAGGCTTTCATGGACCTCGGCTGGTGAAAAACTGGCATTGTATCCGCAGACAGAGAAGTTGGGCCCATCTCCCACCAGGATCTCGGCCAAGTTGCAGGAGAATCCCTGAGGTCTCTAGAAAACCCATGGTGGACAAGGTGCCTCTCCTTTGGGTGATCCTGGCGACCAGATGGCGATGACTTACCTAAGACTTACCCAGCAAAGATTGCCATTTTTAACATGGCACTGTGAAAAAATGACTTCAAAAATACCTCCATAGTGTGTCAGTTGATGTATGAGTGAAATCCTAAAAAAAAACTGTTCCTGGAAGAAACCTGTCAAAAATCCACTGCCAATCCGTGCTGGTTCAATTCCCACAAATGCTTTTGCTTGATCCCCATATCTGTTGTTGATATGTTGCTCAAATTTCCACGTGTTGGTTGCTTGTGTTGTGTGCTGGTTTCTGATTAGTTTTCATGTTGTTGCTAAAATTCAACCAAATATATACATCCCACTTCCCATATTTTCAGCTTAAATCACATCCTTTCATGTGGTTCGACAACTCGAGAAGTAGCTACGAAGGTCTCCTCAGTTCAAAGATGTTTTCCATATCTATGGCTTTGTCTGAAAATCATGTATCCAGAAATGACACATAGTGTATCATCATGTTCCCATATTTCCCTTTTCTTCAATAGCCAGTTGGGACTTCAATCCCCCATTTTCAGAAGCTATGTCCCACGAATCACATGAAATTCCATGAAATCAGATTAAATCCCCATGAAATCCCCATGAAACCACGATTCTTGCGGCCAACCCGGCCCGGAAACCACCAGATCGCACCTACTTTGGCACAGCACTTGTGCGGTGATCGGCACTCCCAGTGCCACCAAGGGAGCAAAGTCCGAGATCCTGACGGGAAACCAGAGAGGTAGCGGTGGAAAAATGGACCTTTTACGGCAAAATTGGGAGCACATGGTGATGACATGGGATAAAACATAGGATTTCATGGGATTTAAAAGGAGTTTTAATGCTGATTTCATGGGATTCATGGGATATGATGTAATGAACCAACTTGATATGATGCTTTGGTCATGGGATTTTTTTCACTACCCAGCTTCAAAAAATGACTTTTGTTGTGTGTGGTGCATCAAAATAAAGGAGTAACCTCCAAATTGCCATTGAACAAGAGGGAAAATGATGATTCTCCACGGGATTCTGGTGGTTACCCCCGGAGAAATCCGGTGCTTTTCGTCTTGAAAATTGCGGGAGCCCCCGAAAGGGGCCCCATCTATCTCAGCGAAAGAAGATTCAGCTGGACAAATCTGATGATATATTTGAGAATATAGTTCATGATATGAATTCGCCAATCATCAATTTTGTCAGCTCAATATTAGATCGGAAAATAACATGCCATCAATACTCGCGGGGATGTCGCCATGCAGTCCAAGACACATTTGCCTGAACTTGGCGATGGAATAAAGCCTTGGCTCCAGCCAAGGGCGTGGGTCGAAAGGTTGGTACCCTTCTGGTCACATCGAAATAGCTTGGATTTATGGATCTTCATCCCCCCAAATACCTTCCGGTAATCAAACATAGCAATGGAAAATCCAGCATTTACATATGGAATTCCTCATTAAACCTCCATTCATAGAGGATTTTCATAGCTTTTGAACCATGCCCACATCCAGCAGCACCAAGTTCGCACCAACCTGCCCAGCAACTCACCCATGTATTCCGCCTGGGTTTTTCAAAAGCTGGGAAAATCCTAGGGAACCCCCAAGGGTATCGCTTGGATGATCAGCTCCACAGTGCCACCAGAATCATCACTAGTTCTTAGTATTGGCCCCAACAAAAACCAATAAATCTCCATTGTCCCGTGACATACCTGGGAGATAACACAAATCATCCACAGTTGAGCCTGAGAAATTTAACGCTGCCAAGCCACATAGCGTCTGCCGCGGGCGCTAGTCAGTAAGCTGCTTGAAGTCTTAGTCAAGGAAAGCACACCGGCACCAGGGCCACACGGATAGCCATGCAGGCTGTAGCAACCAAACTTGGGGAGTTGTTTCCCATCAAACATGGTGATTTAACCAAGCAGAATGGTGATTTACCATCAGGGTTCCAGCCATATTTCCTCAAGAAAACATCCCCCTTTGGTGCAATTGTTACTGCAAACACACCACAAGAATAACGAATATTCACCTCCATCAACATATGAAACAAATGTGAAGATCTCTAGCGTCAGGAAATTGAACATGGAACCTCGTATCGATTGGCTTCTATCCTCCCGCAAACCAAGATAGATACAATATACTGTATACACATACCTATATAATATATATATATACACATATATATACAGTACATATACCTACATTATGTATATATGGTCCCGCCGGCGTCCGGCAACCCCCCCCATGCTATCCCCCCCAGCAACCCCCCACGGGGGTGGCTATCCATCTGCCACCATCCATCAAGATCTCATATGCTCATATGCTATACTTAAATGCTGGCCTCGTGCCACCTATCCATTACATAACAGGATACCTCCATGCAGTGTTCGCTACTGCCTATAATATGCCCATACAATCTATTTACAACGTATTACTGCCCATGAAGTACCTTTGTAGTAGCCATATACTAGCTACTATCAAGATCTCATGTGCTATACATACGTGCTAGCTACATACTACCTATACGCTTTCTACATGATACCTCTATAACACCCCACCCATCCCACAGGGGAGCGGGGGGGTAAGCTACACCTTTCATCACTCCATTTACAAGGTATTACTGCCCATGAAGTACCTTTGCCATATGCTAGCTACTATCAAGATCTCTTGTGCTATTTATACGTGCTAGCCACATACTACCTATACAATATCCACATCATACCTCTATAACACCCCACCCATCCCACAGGGGGGGCGGGGGGGGGTAAGCTACACCTTTCATCACTCCATTTACAAGGTGTTACTGCCCATGAAGTACCTTTATTATTTATAGTAGCCATATGCTAGCTACTATCAAGATCTCATGTCATGCTATTTATACGTGCTAGCCACATACTACCTATACACTATCTACATGATACCTCTATAACACCCCACCCATCCCACAGGGGGGGTGTGGGGGGTAAGCTACACCTTTCATCACTCCATTTACAAGGTATTGCTGCCCATGAAGTACCTTTATTATTTATAGTAGCCATATGCTAGCTACTATCAAGATCTCATGTCATGCTATTTATACGTGCTAGCCACATACTACCTATACACTATCTACATGATACCTATATAAAACCGCACCCATCCCACACGAGGTGGCGGGGGTAAAGTAGACCCTACATCGATCATTTACAGTATATGCTAGCAAAAATGTCAGCTATATCCGACAGCGTACATACAGGACCATGACCATGAGGGGGGTTAGAGGGGGTTGCAGGGCTGAGCCATATATATATATATTCATACGTGTGTATATAATTATATATATATGTGTCTATATATATATATATGTATATATGTGTATATGTGTAAATATATATATATATATAACTATACATGCACATACATAAATCATACTTACAATCCGACATTTCTAGATGATTCCCCAAACGGAAACGATGCGAATGGCGCTTTTGGTTTCTCTCGAGGTGCCCAAGTATGCTGCCACCCGGCGAAGGTGAAAATGATGCCCAACATCACCTCGACTCGTTCTGAAAACGTCCAGAAATACAGTGGGTTACTATTTTAAAGAAAGAAACTGAGGTTATTCATAGTTATTGAAAGCGATTTATATGATTCATATAGGATTATATAATAGGAATTATCACTCGTTATGAATGGTGCTTAATGGAAATGAACCAGCAATAATTGAGAGCATACCACTATGCCACGAGGGTCCGTCAAACCTGGATAAAGAAAACCGTGGCTAAAGCCACCAGGAGCATCCAAAAAAATTGGATATGATTTGACATGACTTGACATGTTGGTAGGATCCAAAATAATATAATCAAATATATATATATATATATAAATATATATATATACATACATATATATACATATATATATGCATATATATATATATATGTGTATATATGTATACATAATGGGTAATCATATAATATTAAATATAATCAACTTAAATTACGCAATACGCTATTCCAACATGGTTGGCGGATCCATCAGAACAGGAATCTGGCAAATGCTGAGTTCAATGTGGTTTAACTGATGGGTTCAGTTTAACCGCAAGTGTTTCGAGCTTGATGGTTTGTTATGTTCCATGAAACAAAATCTGACAAGCAAACACTGTGTTTGGGTAGAGAACTGAAGAACCAACATCAATTCATGTTTACACGTGGAAGATTGATGATATACATGTGTATGTATGTGTATATATATATATGTATATAACGTATGTATATATATATACACACAGTATATGCGTACAGTATACGTATATGTGTATATGTCTATTCGCCAACTTATTTGCGGCATGTTAGTTTGGCCTCAGTCGGATCATTGAGGAAAAACTCTGACTGTTTCTAAATCCCGTGTAACCTCAGGAAAACATCCGTTATCATTTCAAATCTTGCCAGAATGCTCCAACTGTCGGAATGTTCATCAATTGAAGTTATTTGATGGGGATCTTATTTGTTGGCCCAAACCCATGAAATTCTTGCCAACTTGAAGGCTTCCAAAACTTCATCGCACTCGCAAAACTCCTAGGCACATGGATCAAGGTCGTCCACCATCGACCATCGCAGAAGCATAGACCCACCAGCGAGAATGTGAAGGCCGCAATGTAGCCTTCAGCGGACCAGCATCCCCCCATGGGGATGACGGAGGAGCTACCAGAGATGGATAGATAGATAGATAGATAGATAGATAGGTAGATAGATAGATAGATAGATAGAATAGATTAGATATGATAAGATAAGATAAGATAAGATGTAGATATTTAATGATATTTAATGATATTTAATGATATTTAATGATATTTAATGATATTTAATGATATTTAATGATATTTCATGATATTTCATGATATTTGATGATATTTGATGATATTTGATGATATTTAATGATACTTAATGATACTTAATGATACTTAATGATACTTAATGATACTTAATGATATTTAATGATATTTAATGATATTTAATGATATTTAATGATATTTAATGATATTTGATGATATTTAATGATATTTAATGATATTTAATGATATTTAATGATATTTAATGATATTTAATGATATTTAATGATATTTAATGATATTTAATGATATTTGATGATATTTGATGATATTTAATGATATTTAATGATATTTAATGATATTTAACGATATTTAACGATATTTAATGATATTTAATGATATTTAATGATATTTAATGATATTTAATGATATTTAATGATATTTAATGACATTTAATGACATTTAATGATATTTAGACATATATAAGTATTTATACAGCCAGGATGGGGGTGCTGCCCGGGGAAGTGTATTTTAACTGCCCAGGGCGAGTGTTTTATGCATTTGGGATGTCGGCCAAATGGCAACTTGGCTGACAAGACTTGGTTCCAAAACGCAAAACCCTAAATCCTAAAACCTAAATCTAACGTGAAAACCCTAAGTTTGCCTTGAAGCAAAATCTTATTAAAAGCCTGGTATATAAAAACCTTATAAAGCCCTCATAAAACCCTTATAAAACCCTTAATAAACCCTAAACAAGCCCTAAAGAGTTGGTGCCATGATAAACCTCCTGGCGGCACTCCCGGCCTGCAAGTATTTATCCGTAGATTGGTAAAGTAACATGTATGCGTATATGGCTGTGCATATACATCTTATATATATATATACACTATTGTATACTTATTGATAAATGGGCAAGTGATATCCGAAAATGGGATACTGTAAATAGTTCATTTGTACATGTGTTAAGAACTATAACAAGGGGAGTGGACGCACAGGCCGGCTCCCTTCCTATGCAAAAAAACATGGCCATGGAAGTCAAGGACATCCGATGGATACCTCTTCCAAAACGACCTTGTATGGTAATGGCTTGCCAGCTAGACAGAGTAAGACTTTACTTTCATCTATTCATCGGAGCAATGTTCTTAAGCCGTTGCAATTCGGTATTTTCCCGATAAGGCTACGATACTTCAGGGCTATGAAACAGCACTATCCTCCAATAAAATAGCTATGGAAAATCGACCATCTATATATAGATGATTTACCTCTTAAACTCCCTGTTTCTCCATAGTTATCTTAGTTTACCAGAGGGCACACCCTGTGAGGTCCACTTCCCAGGCAACCCATAACCCGCCAGGGCGCCATAGAGCAAGCTGCCCTGAATCATGGCAGGCGACGGAATCCGAGGTCGTTTCACCTCGATGGCTGTCTGGTTTCCAGACAAAAAAAAACATATCAGATTTGGATGTGCATCCCAGTTGGTAAGTGGTAACCCTTTTATAATTATACTTATACTTGTACTTATACATATACATGTACATATATAGATAAATGATTATATAATTTATGGGAGATTGTGTATATGTGTGATGGGATGTACTCCAGTTTTATAAATGGGATATAAGCCACTTGCTTATGTAAGTCTTTGTATGTGCAATGGTCAATTTACATGGGATACTATGGGGTATGGTCATGCCACCATGAATGGTATTCCTTCTAATTGGTATGTATAAATCGACCCCTATCAATGGGGGGAATGGCCATCCCAGAACATGGGTACATCACCCAACCGTTTCCATCCAACTATGGCCAGAAACACTAATTGGTTGCTATATACACTAATTGGTTACACATCCAACTATGGTTTTGGAAAGATTTGAGCTCGCGCAAGCTCAACCCAGTCGCAACCGTGGCATTCTCCGTGGCATTCTCCGTGGCATTCTCCGTGGCGTTGTTTAAGGAGGCGTTGTCCAAGCTGGCATTGTCCCAGGCGTTCCCGGATGCATCCTGAGGTCAACCCGAAAGTGAGAGTCACTTTTGCATATCAAAATGGTAATGTCCACTTTATGCACCTTATGCATTTCCACATAACTCTTTGTAAAAAATAGATTGGTCACATCATTTTGATGTTCCTCAATCCAGGCTTGACACCTCACCAAATCCACCTTGCCTCCTCCGCCTCGTGCGCCACTTCCGGGACAGGGGACACTTCCTGCGGGATGTTACCCCAGTGCAATACCAAGTAGCAGCAATTTTAAGCGATTCAGCATGATTCAGCACCAAAATATCTGGAGATCATCAACCAAAATTGGGATGTTCACACAGAAACCTGTTTTTTTTTGCAGTTTTGGCTAAAGAAAAAGTTGATTGACCAAAGTGATAATGAAAACAACATCAGTGGTTGCGAGCAATGAGAAGGCTCATGTTTTTTTCCCATAAACCATCATGAAGAATGGTGAGGTTCTGTGTACCCGAGGTCAGCACCGGAGCCTCTTCCTGTATCGGGCCGTCCAAAATCTGAGGCACCACCAGCCTTGGTGGTCTTAGTGGGATCGGATTGGTTCCAAGAAATTGTTTTTGAAGCCAGGGAAAATTGCTGTTCCACAATGACTAGATGCCATTTTACTAGTTTCTAACTTCTAAGTGATCTTCAATCTCTGATTCCAGCTCGACTTCACTGGTTATAGCACCAACTGGGCCAACAACCCCAGGCCTTTGCAAAGGACCACCCTTGAAGTTCAACCCACAGGGGATCCACGGAGAATCAATCGGCGCGTCCCCCCATGGAGCGAGGGGCTCTCCGTAGAGCCAATTGGAGGTAAAGAGAAGGATCCCAGCCTCGGCAGCGACTGGCAGACTCAAACGAGAGCGTTGACGATGGAATCATATGATACATGGTATATGGTACATCATACCTTATACATGGTGTATGATACATGATGCATGATGCATGATTAGGGTTTTGATTTTGATTATGATTGTGACTCTAAAATTATATGAAATGAAATGAAATGAAGCGAAATGGTATGATATGATATGATATGATATGATGGATATTGTATATATATAGATAGATATGTGTGTATAATATATATATATGCATGTTTAAGTCATGTCTGTATCCAGACGTATGCAATCTATACATACATGCAAGGGAGTTGTTTACAATAAATGGGAATGTAGCAACTTTTGTTGGTTTCCCAAATACTAACCCTCACTCATGGTGAGGTCATACTGACCTGGTACCTGCACCGATATGAAAACCAATCGATCTCCACCAAAAAAACTGCTCCGTTAACAAATCGCAACGATGTCAGTTCCTCAGATATAGATATATATATATATATATATGTATGTATGTATATATGTAAATATGTGTATATATATATTATTATTATTATTATTATTATTATTATTAATTATTATTATATTATGATATTATTATTATATATATTATAGTATATTATATTATATATATGATATTGTATTATATTATGTTATATAAATTATATTATATTATATTATATATATATATTATATTATTATATTATATTATATTTATATTATTATATATTATATTATATTATATTATATTATATTATATTATATATTTTATTTATTCATCCCCAATTGTGAGGAGGCAACAACAAGAGATGAAGTCTTAAGAAATTACGTATTCCAAAGTGCAGTGGTTCAACATAATGTTCTTCGCTCAAATGGTTTGTTTTTTTCATGCTCCGTTTCTGGACAAACCCAAATAAATAGCAAGGTCAAGCAAAAAAATGCTAACAAAGTTGGCTTAGATATCCCATGGAATATGGTTCCCCCTACCAGTGACCGTGAAATGATGGAGTTTGGGGGAAGGCCATGACGTGAAGCTTGATTTTGGCTTCAGGAAACCCTTCTAGTTCATGTGTGACCAATAGTCTTTCAGCAATTCCCTTCATTTGTGGTGCGTCTGTGTTCAAAAAAAAATGGAAAAAACACCTGCAGCCAAGTTTGAGATGTGTCAAAACTTCTGGCGCCCTGGTTTTTTCTGGGTTTGGATTTTGTGTGACGGAAGCTCAAACAAAGTACAACAGCCTCCAGGATGGAATATCACCGTGTTTCAGCCCTATCCCACATCCATCGTGCCAGCTCGTGCCACTTTGAAAGCCGAGAAGCAACAAGGAAACCCAGCCCTGGCAGCTCAGAGAATCTCAGAACGGGGGTTGTGCCCAAAATTGCTCCACCTTCCCGTGGTTCAGCAAAAAATCATTTTCCAAACTACAACAATAAAAGCTTCCAACTGGGAGGTTATTCTCATTTCTGGGCAAACATTGTTGGTCGAACTCTTGGGAATAAACCACCAACAAGATCGAATCAAGAGTGGGGTCTATAAAGGCCATCCCTAAAATCCCGAAACTCAGTTGCTATAAGCTCACTATCTCACATTATTTTTGGTATATCATCCCATTCCTCAATAGTCAATACCCCTTTGGAAAGCATGGTTTTGCATTGGATTTATTGGGGCCCATATGAGGGGTATTTAATATTGGGAGGAAGGGATTCCAGTAACCAAACAAACAATAGACAATGATAGACATGTATTTCCCAACCAACTACTTGACTAGGACCAGATTTTTTTTTTACCTTTTTGGGATTGCTAGATATTGAAAAAAATAGTCGATTATGGGATTGTTTGAAATCGGGGTACCTGCAACTCCAATAACTCCAATGGAGTATCAAACCCCAAACCATTTTAAGTCGCCTTCTTTGTTTGAAACCCCAGGATAGTGGCAACCAGCTGTAAGTTCATTTATAATACCCTTGAGCCTTGAAGTATAGTTCTATCACCCTATCAACCTTAGTTACTGGATAAAAGGAAGAAATGGGGCCCCACCATTTTTTTTCACGTCACAGTTTACGATCGACTTGGTCTCCCAACGGAGCAGGGTCCGGTTGGGCTTGCGGCCGCACACCGAAGAGAAGGACGGAAGGCACCAGCCGTGCCAACAGCACCTGCTGTTGAGCGGTGCAGGGAGGTCAGGGGAGGTCATGGGCCACGAGAAAACCTGGGAGAATTTGGAAATTAAGATGCCAATCGGATTTTTTGGCAATTAATGAGATTTAACCAGCCAAAATGCTACGAAGTATAACAAACATTGAGTATTTCAAACAAACAACGAGAGGCGCACCTTTTACCCCAATTACTTGAGCCAAATATTGGCATAATTCCATGACCGTTGTCAACAGGAAAACTGTACACTTTACAATGTAGTGCCCCAAAACATTTGAAGTACCCCCCAGACCAGTTGGTGTGTAGATACTTGACCCGTGCTGTGACCCTGCTCAGACTCAATCACCACCAGTTCTGAATCCTCCTCAAATTGAAAACTTGCCACTTGTCAGGAAAATCAAGAAACTCAACTTCTATCTCACCGGTCTCAGCCAATGACGCCAATGCTGAGGGCTGTCCTCGTTTCGCAACAACTTCAATTGGATCAGTCGAATCAGTCAGGTTCAGATTCCCAGCTTCAACACTGAAGGGATGCCCCGAGATCCGCTCGCCCTAGAGAAGGTTGGAACAGAGATCACTCCTTCAGCCACTCAGACTTCATATCCGTAGTTTGGAGTCCCTGGGTAATTCTTTGCTGCAACTCTCATAGCTCGACTCGGCGTCGCTCTTTTTGGGCGGATGTCTTTCTACCCCCTCGCTCTCGGCGAGGTCTTTGGGGCGAACCGCCCTCTATGGTGTCGTCAGTTGTTCGAGAAACCAAAGTCTGACCTTCCCTGCAGTAGATACACAAAGTCCCTTTATGAAGAACGGAAGCACAAGAGCTAGGCCAACAAGGCCCTTAACCTAGTAGTAAACAACGAGAGGCGCACCTTTTACACCAATTACTTAAACCAAATACTGGCATAATTCCACAACCATTGTCAACAGGAAAACTATATTACACATAGGGTTTACCCCAAAACATATTAGTGTAGCGGAGTTGGCCATCGAGAGGTACTAGCGAAGTGAAAGCTGCTGCTTGGGAGGCGAGAGAAAACGGCTGCACGCATCTTCGGACTATTCCAAGCCCTGCCCATGCATGGAAAGCCAAGTCTTGTAAGTTGTGGCAAAACACGATATGTTCCCGTCGTCCGTTAATAAACACGCTCTCGGCGAGGTCTTTGGGGCAGACCGCAATCTATGGTGTCGTCCATTGATCGAGAAACCAAAGTATACTGATCTTCCTTGCAGTAGATACACAAAGTCCCTTTATGAAGAACGGAAGCACAGATGCTAGGCCAACAAGGCTCTTGACCTAGTAAACAACAATAGGCGCACCTTTTACACCAATTACTTGAGGCAAATATTGGCGTAATTCCATGACCGTTGTCAACAGGAAAGGTATTCACTTTACAGTGTAGGGGTTTACCCCAAAACGTTTTAAGTATTTATCCCACCAAATGGCCATCGAAAACTGTGTTTTAATGTGTTATGTCCATAAGATATTTCATGAACAGAAGCGGTTTTGGGCCCATCATACTAAATGATTTCTTTTATTCGAGAGAAATTGAAATCGGAATGGTGGTTTGACCATGTCTTGCCGACAAATCAAAGCGTTTCCTGTCAATTGTCTCTTCGACTAACTCTGGGAAGTCGTATACCATGGCGCGACCCAAATCCATGAACTGCCACGTGACCAGGCTTACATACCCTTCAAAGAAACTTAGACTTCATGTCTAGTTATATAGTAGATATTGATCCAATGACAGCAAACATTTAACCGTTGCCAATGCCAGCTCCCCAGTATGTGCTCCTTACGCGGAACAAAAACATCTCTGGTGGAAGATTGACAGCAAGACATTGAAAGTACCCATCAACCCCCAAGCTCACCCTTCGTGAAATCCCAATTCTTAGGTGAAATCGGCAACCATCTCGGTGAAACCGGAATTAACTTTGATGCTGACTAATTATTATAAATCACCATGTCTGTCTGTAATAATTACAAAAATCCCCAGTACACTTGTGAAATCCCAATTCCCACCTGTAGATACTGAGGCAAAGTGCCAGGGTGCTGCCCGCCCAGCCCAGCGCCAGCATGGGCAGCAGCGCAGCCCCTTGGCCCAAGAGATGGGAATGGATGTTACCCTGGGGTAAACATACAAAAGGATAGAAAAATGTTCTACAAATGGTTGACTTTCCACATCTATCTTGGTTTACGGGATGGTATTTCATGTTGCTTGATTGGTAGTTTCCAGAGATCTCGAAAGTATTACCATGAAAGGTGCTGATTGAAGCAAGAAACATGGGGAGTTGACTCAGTTCACCAAGGAAAATAGGGCCTTAACCAATCTTCACCAAGAACCATGGTGCTTTAAACACCAATAAAAGGGGTCTTCCATGATACCGAACGATGGGCCATGCGACCAAGGCACCCAAGGGCTTTCCAGCCACTGGAGCGACCAGGGTGCAGAGCACCAAAGCTGACGCAGCTGAGTGTTTATTAAATGGCCCTTTCATAATTATTCCATGTTATTCCATGGTGATTAATAGTGATTATATAGCAATTTATAGTGATGAACAGGGGTTTTGTCTAGTTATGACTGGTTTTTCCCCACATGCCAGGTGAGGGTCTCTATATAGATTTTAGCAAAGGTGCAACTCCTCCTTCTCCTCCTCCTCCTCTTCCTCCTTCTCCTCCTCGCCTCCTCTTCTCGACTAGTTCTGTGCCAGCTCATCGCCGGAAAAAAAATGTCAGATAGAATGTCAGAAAATATGTCAGATAGAATGCCAGAAAAATGTCAGAATAGATGCCAAATAGAAATGCCAGAAAGAATGTCAGAATAGATGCCAGACAGAATACCAGAATGAATGCCTGAATTGATGCCAAATAGAATGCCAGAAAGAATACCAGAATAGATGCCAGATAAAATGCCAAAATGAATGCCTGAATAGATGGCAGATAGAATGCCAGAAGAAAAAAAAAGTCAGAATAGATGCCAGCTAGAATGCCAGAAATCATCTCAGAAAGCAAGAAAGCATGACAGAATATATTCCAGCAAGTATGTCAGATAGATTGTCGGAATTTATACATATATAAATACTGTATATATGTATGCCATAATTACTTCCAGATGGTGTGTCAAAAACTATGTCGCACGAGTGTGTCAGGGTGGGGATCACTCGAAGTAAAATACTTAATGGCTATGAATGGAATTTCACCGGCAATAGTTGGGCTTATACGACTAGAAATAGAAAATGTTGCCATCCCCCAAACCAACACTTTGACCCTGCCAATATGAGTTTTGCGGGATGGCAAAGACTGTAGCCTCAGACTTCACTGGTGATGCAACCTGATTACCCAACAAAGGTTGCTATGTGCCATTGATCCAACAGCTTGCTTCCTATAGTTTCCAGTTTGGAAAACGATCTACAAATGCTGGGAGTTCATATATGCCATTCAGCCCCAGGCCACAGCACGTGGCCAGGAATACTGCAGATCCTTCTATCAACAAATTCAGGGAGATGTCAACTGATAGGATTTTTATATTGGAAAAAATGACAAAATACCATTTTTTTAGGGAGGAGTACATCTTGAACAATTGCTGATGTCCAAACTGCCAGTATATGGGTTAGTGCAAACAAATACAGTAAATAAAGGGTGTATCATCATCATTGTCCCAATTCAATTGCCCTTTTGGGGGTATATCGTATCACATGTTCCGTGTACATAGATGTATGTATTTTAGATACCATACCATGCCATAGCCATAACCATAACCATAACCATACCATTGCATTACATACCATTGCATTACATTACATTATATTATATCATATTACATTACTGCATATAAATATATAATTATTATTATCATTATTATTATCATCATCATTATTACTATTATGATTATTACTATTATTATAATATATATTTGTTATTATATATATATGTTATTATATTTATATAATGCTATTATATATATATATTTATATCGTTGAAACATCCCAATTATATGCATACCATGGGAGTGAAATCCTAGTGATGATGCAACGTCCTGCCGATCCATTTCCGCCCACCTGCCCCCACAGGGGCCGCCCAAGGGGGCAGCAGCGCATGCAGAGTTTCATCCAGGTTACTTCGACGCAAAGCCTGGCTCAGCACTGAAGTTGGCAAAGGGCCACAGGGGAAACGTCCCAAACATTTTTCGCATCCCCCGATTTTGGGGGGAATTTTGGTGTTTCCAAAAGATAGTTGAAAGTGATGAAAGTGATGAAAGTGATGAAAGTGATGATAGTGATGATAGTGATGATAGTGATGATAGTGATGATAGTGATGTTCAAAAACTCCAAGACGGGACGTTTTGCAACAAATCTCGCTCAGCGACGACGGAACACCGAGGATTTCACCCACAATCTCGGGCGCCACAACTTGAAATTGATGCACATCACTTCCATCTTGTCAATGAAAATGGGGACACAGGAGCCAGTACAGTACTCATAGGATGTTTACGAATTCACACCATTGCCAAGTCTGTTTGGACACGATCTGTTTTGCCCATTCAAAAAGGAACAAGACATCAGGCAACATCATGGCCATCGGACTTGAAGGGAAATCTTCAAGGAAATCGTCATCTCGGATGGTGAAACCCAAGCCCGGATCATCGTCATTCTCGTCCACAGCCGCGGGGAAGCGCGCCTTTTCTCCGACACAGGTTTGGACCTCAGGTGCTCTGGGGATAACCCTGGCTGATTAAAGATCCATAAGCGCCCCATGGTTACCCTCCAAAAGTGATGTCAGTGATGTTGCTACTAAAATGATCAAGAGTCCAGGCAAAAGGAAATTCTGGGCTTCGCACTACCGGTCAGTCGACCCAATGGACATGGTTCCTTTCTTGGAGTTCTTTGCAGTTAATGCTTGCCCCACTTCAGTCCCACGGGTAAGAGACGAAAGCTTGGCAGGGAGCTTGGCATGAAAACACAAAGGTCACAGCGCAGCTGCGCAGCGTCTTTTTCGTCAACGTGGACGAGGGGTCTGAAGCTGGGGCATGTTGGTAAGGTGAACATCCACGTATTGAGGCGATGTATGTGGGAGGGGACGAGGATGAGAACATATGAGGATTGTGTACTGTTGCACGAAGAGGATGAGGAAATTCAGCATAGCTAGAGCATAGCCAACATGATGACCAGTGATTGGGGAAGATTCAAAGGTCCACCTTCGGCATCGGAGTGGGCCTTTGGAAGCGCGGGAAGAAGTAACGCAGTGCAAAACCGAAGCTGAGGCCAAGATAAGGCTACCCATAAATGAACATGCCAATCATGAGCGCCGCTGCATCAATGAATTGAAGAGAAATGAGGCATGCCCTATTGACGATGCAAATCATGCAAAGGATGCCGATGCTGCCGATGTTGGTGACGGTGTCCCTGGAAGAAATTGAGCCCACGGCCAAACTGCTTGTGAACCAGCCAGGGGAGGGGAGGGGTAGTTAACGAAGTTTCTCGCGATTGGAGATTCCAGCCCCCACAATACCTTGCTAAAGCAAGAGGGACTTCGCTAGCATAGTTTTATCCAAGGATAGTGTCCCACATGTGGTTTGCAGCCGAGGCAAATTCTTCTGTCGTCGTTGTACTCATCAAGCCATTGGGCACCCGCAAAACTGCAAGGCTTGAAGTTCTTGTTAAATTTAAGTTTCAGTCCAAAACTCTGAAGTTTCTTGAAAAAAATAGAGTAACACCACAAATTTCAAACAACATGCCACAAATCTGCGGTTTTTTGGTCGTCACTTGGGACCATCGACCTGGGCCGAGTCTCCGAGTCTGGGTTCCCCCCACCACCACACGCTGCGAGGCGGCGGGACGAACGACCTGGCAGTCGCAGTGATAGGATGATGAATGGGATGATCATGGTATACAGAAGCCTTAAAAAAGGGCTTGGCTTGGATTAGATTCCACGAAAAATTGCTTGTTTGCAGGGTCTATGTGAATTTACCGGGGTATGTAGAAGGGGATGTTTATTCAGATTTTAATGGAAGTTAATGAGACCTTTATGATCACTTCATGGGGCCGAACGGGATCATGGCTGGCCCTGGCTGGCTTTGTGTTTCTCACCCAAAGTCATTCCCCATGATGGCCGTAGAACTGAGCTGTTGAATATGAACGATGGGATGGGTAATTCATCTGTTTATCAGCATAGGCTGTTTGAAAAATCTGAAAAAAACCGGTAAGTTTCCGATTTATTACCCATTCAGATGGTAATTTTCAGACCATTTCCCCATGAATTACCCATTAATCCAAATTCAGATGGTCAGTTCAACTCACCAGCTGGCACAGAAACGCTGCTGGATCAGAGGTCCACCTCTGCTAGGGTTCCATTGAGCTCTGGCAGGGACTTCAAGCCCGACACACGGACCACCTGGGAGCACAAACATTGCTGCCTTATTGGACCTATCATGACCCATCCAATATGAATATGACATGAGTCCCAAGGTGAATGAAATGGAACTTGGGGAACTTCGACCTGGAACTCACCGACCAAACTTGAAGATATCAATGAGAACGGCAGTAACTGGTTGATACTCTTGTTTCATTAAAGCGAGCAATTCATAATGGCAACTTGCCACTTGCTAAATGGGATGATTTTGCAAGGGATTATTCTTGGTTGGTTTAGGCTCCATGGTGTCCAACTATCAACTGAGCCATGGAAAATGCCTCGTTTTCCAATCCCTTTATTACTGATGTGCAAGCAGGTATCCTAGTAATTATGGATTATAATTCTTATAATTATATTAATAGATAATTAAGAGATCCTGCCAGTACATGGGAACTTCCCCCAAAGACAAGGAAGCAACATGTCATGGTTGCATTCAGGGCCTTCAAATCCAGTAGAAATAGGCCAACGTAACCGGACAGTCTAATGGTCCCCTCCGATTTCCAGTCCGATAATCGAGACAGAAAATAGACCCCGATGGTAGCCTCGCTGCTTTTCTGCTGGAGATAGAAAGCCAATTGATTCATGGTTAAATCCCTTCGATGGGAACATTTTGTCCATGGAATCCACGTCCTGTGGCGCGCCATGCCTTTTACGCTGCCAGAACTGTGTGGCCTCCTGGGGTTCTATTGGTCGTACCCGGCAACTGCGAAACTAGCCATCGACCAGGTGATGTTTTGGACTATCATGTGGTTGAAATATGGATACCATGGATACCCATAGTTTCTTACCTCGACCACCGGAGAGGGAACCTTCAAAAAGAATCTACAGTAACTACCATTTTGGACAAACCCAGATCTGTTTGTGGGTCACTGCACCAAAAAAAACTGTAGTCTGTGGTTCACATCCCAAACATGTTACCAGAATTTACTGTGGTCTGGTTTATAGATTGTTCAACTATGTCTGACAATACGACAGAACGTGCCTTCACACAATCTCCAGTTCTTACCACTTCAATCTTATAAACAGTGTTGAACTATATTAAACCATGCTAAATATCAAACTACTATATCCACACTTGGGACTGACCATGGCTTTGGACTCATACCCCTCTAGCTAAGCCACTTTGTGGTGTTGGTCAGCTGTTCCAGTGACTAGGGGACTAGGGGTACCAGCCCATACCCAGAACTTTCCGGGAGACCGTTCTTTACCAGCTGGGAATGTGGATCAAACCCATGGCAAAAAAGGTAATCTTGCTTTCTGTGGGTCACCGGCCCTTCTGGAGCCATACTTAGATTCTAGCAGTTTCGCGGTCAGAAAAATTTCGCAAAAGTGGCGCACCATTGGGCGTCTCGGCTCAAAGTTAAACCACACCACTGAAAAACGTCTGGACCTTGAGCCGAAAGCCGTTACGGTCACCTGCGCTTAGTTGTTCTATGCAAAGCAGGTGTGGTGCTGAACTCGCAGTTTGGGAAGCGGCCAAACTGAAGCAGTTGTGTTCACCTAGCACTTGGCTTTCATCCATAGTGTGTGTTTTTTTCAAGCTCCGTAATACATGTTGCAAAAAGAAACATCATATTGGTGTCAATAAAACAAAATACTGTTTGATGTCATACAGGGCACATACCCAACAAATCAAGACTTTTGTATGTGAGTGGTAGTATCTCAAAAGGTGTGGTTTACACATTTCTGCGCGTGTGGATGTCCTCATAGATGACCATGAGGAAAGGACCATGACGAAAGAACCCCAAAGCGTTATTTTCTCTTGCAGACTTTGTCCCTTCAGCCTTCCCCATCTCAAATGGTATGGTGAAATATATTCGACCTATAGTTAGCCTATAATATGAATGTCATCTTCATGCTAAATTGTTGTTACTTTCAAGGCCGAAGCTTCTCCCTGCCAGAATAAAGTGCAGCTCGAAGAAACTTGCCATCTGCATTATCCAAGCTGAACATTATCATGGCAAGCCGCGAAGAAATGGTTGCAAAAAGCAAGGGCTCTCCGGCCATCGCAATTGGTTGCGTGTTCACGAGTATGAATGAATGAAAAAGGACTGGCGAACGTGAGACAATCAAATCCAAAATTGGGTTTGTCTGGACATGAAGGGAACACCCAATTGTGATGGTCCAGAATATCATATTCACCATTTAGTTGCCTTGAAAAAAAGGCCAACGTTTTACTTGCAGCGGTGAATCTGTGCTCACTTGTAACAGTCAGTGATTGTGTTTCACTTGTAGCAGACATACCTCCGAAACGTGGGGTTTAAGCCTCTAAAATGTTTCACTTGCGCCAATAGATTAACAATAAATGTACAAACAGGGTCTTTACATGATATGTTCCATATCAACAAAACAAGTTTCCAGCAAAATGTTTCACTTGCACCAGTACAGGCAAAGTCACAGGATATAGAAAGAAGCGTCTGGGGGGGACACGACCCTTTAGGTCGGCTTTAGGTCGGCTTTAGGTCTGGGGGGAACAATCATGGAATCATGGGAAGAAGATCATATTTACAAAGAAGCTTCTTGAGGAGGGTGCTTTACGTTGGGGGGAACAACCATGGAATTACAAGAGGAAGATGTGCTGTTTCATTTTCCAACTTCTTGAGATGATGCAGTGGACATGCAAACTTGGGACAGCTACGTAAGAGCGTTCGTCCATCTTTCATATGTGCAGTCACGCGCTTGTCTTGACTCTACTATGATCCACTGTTTCATTTTTCAACTACTTGACATGATGTGGTTGACATGAAGATGTGAGAGCACATTTTTTTCCATTCGACACTAATGTTGACCTACGATTTTTAAACCCCCCCTAAATAAAGCTATTTTTTTCAAAAAAATATTAAATTACCCCTAAATAAAGCTAATTTTTTTTGGCCCTAAACCCAGATTTGCCCAGATGGGGCTGACAAAAACCTTTATTCAAAAATGATAGCTGGAAAAAATGATGGATGCTCTTTCCATTCAAAACCTTTACTTAAACTTATCCAAAATCAACTCCAAATCAACTCATCAAGGGTACCCCCCATGAGGTGCCTTAGCACCAATTAGAGTTTGACCCTGAATAAAGCTAATTTTTTTTGGCCCTAAACCCAGATTTGCCCAGATCCATGACATGAATACTAAATCAATACTAAATCCATGACATGAATACGAGATCAATACTAAATCCATGACATGAATACTAAATCAATACTAAATCCATGACATGAATACTAAATCAATACTAAATCCATGAGATGAATACTAAATCAATACTAAATCCATGACATGAATACTAAATCAATACTAAATCCATGACATGAATACTAAATCAATACTAAAACCATGACATGAATACTAAATCAATACTAAATCCATGAGATGAATACTAAATCAATACTAAATCCATGACATGAGTACTAGATCAATACTAAGTCCATGACATGATTACTAGATCAATACTAAAACAATTGCTGGATACCTGTTTTTTTTGAAATTGCATTTTATGTATTCGTTTTCAATTGTGGTAATTTAAAACCTTTACATACAAACAAGTTTGATGGTGGCTTTAAGTTTATTTAGGGGAAAAGAGAGGGGGGGGCCTATTTATAAATCATAGGTGGACATTACTCGTGCCCTTCCAAATTTTTCAGCAAAGTCACACCCTTCTCTTGACTGTTACTTGGATCCGCTGTTTCACTTCCCAGCTACTTGACTTGATGTTGTTCACATGATGTTGTGACATGGACCGCGAAGCATGATCCTTGGAACGTATCTAACATGTGGTGCACCATGCGCTGCATGCTGAGCCAATCATTCCAGAGGTAAGTCATCGGCATTTTTGCGTTTCTTTTTTCGCATTTCTGTGCATGCATGTGTATAATATACAGTCTTGTACATACACTGCACGTATGTTTGCATATGGGTGTCACCTTAGAAGACGATAGGTCCCTTCTTTTCAATGGACGATCAAACAATTCAAGCTACGAGACCTGGGTGTGTCTGAAAATATGTATATTTATTCACTCAAATCATGGCCATTTTTTATGGGGAATATCATTATTTAGCAATGGATTTGAGACCCTTTTGTTTGACAAAACCATTGAACTAACGCTTCCATGTAGTTGTTTTTTTGGCATCCCCAAGGCTTGGGCAAAACAAGTCATTCCAACTCCACACTTAGTTGAGATCGGCCAGTCTCAGTGAATCTGAGAGCCTTGCACGCAGACCAAAGACAAAACCTAGCCTGTTGGTCATCACAGGGTCATGACAACCCGGAAGTTATGAAGGCATGCCCTGGCATGTGGTGGCGTTTTGGCCCGGAACATCTGGCAAATTGAACGCATGACAGCAAATACATATATATATATATACGGAAGAAGAAGAAGTTGGTGTGCAGTGGCCCCACGGTCGCCATCAGCACAAGAAGGACCTAAGTCCCCGAGCTTACGCTCGGTTTGCGTCATTATCCTTAGTGAAACGGAGTTGCCTGAGTGAATCAGGTGTCATGCAGCACATGCCATGTGCGTGAAACAACATTCGTCATGTGAGTGAAATATTCCGAAGAGCCAATACCGTGAGGGTCAGGATCGAGAGAGAACCACCCAAATCTTTCCTGGAGAGGGTCAGAAGGTTTCCTAATGCCAACAGGATTCATGACCGGGCAAACCCAAAACAAATGATTGTGGTCAGCCGTGTGATGCCCACAATGTGGGCAGACTTTACTGAAGGTAGAATCACTATGGTGATTACACATAGGACTACGGAATGAACCCAGCAGAACAGCCCTGCCCGCAGCGGAACAGTTTTGAAGGGACTTCCAAGTTTGAGTTAAATCAACTTGTCCAAAGGCCCTGACGAGCCGAGGTCGATCAAAAGACCAGCCGCGGTTTTCCCGACGATTCTGATCTAAAAACTTTCCGAAGCAAACCTGCTTATAGGCAAACTGAATATTATGCTGTTGGACTTCAAGTGGTTGAAGGCTGCCTCTTCTGAGGTCAAGACGCCTGGCCTCAGGTGGTGAGCTGTCGTTCCAGAGTGGAATTTTACGCCACAACCAAGGGCTGTCTTCACACCAGCCCCACTGCTTAAGGGCCCGCCGTAATAAATGCAATCCAGTGAACGGTTTGCACTGCCAGTTGGGCCGAAGATCATGGTTGATCAACTTCTTAGTACGATTCCAAAGATTGATAGTGTGAATACACTCATAGTCAACGTTGGCGCCATACAACACTTTGCGGAGCCAAGGGGAGGAGTTGCGATTAGTTTTCAGAATCTTAGAAAGCCTAGTGAAAAGCTTACGAGATAAGCCACTGGGCGGGGTTCTGGAAACCCATCCGTAACCAAATTTACTGATAACAAAACAGCGATAGGCAGCGACCAAGCGGCTCCGCGGCATACCCGTACAGCCCAACAGGTTGGCACGAGCCAAGGCTCTGTTCATTCTTTTCTCTTCTTCAGGTACATTTTGCCGTGGCTGGGAGGTGGTGTTGCAACCCAAAAACTTAACCTCCTGTTTAATCCACTCTTGATTAGCATTAGCCTGCAGAGAAGCTTGCTGCTGGCGGCCTCTAGCGGCCACCTGAGTTTTGCTGCGAGACTCGACCAAACCAATCGTGGTAGAGAACTGTTGCCAGCCCTGGATTAAGCTTTCCATGTGAGACCAAGACCGGGCAGTAAAAGTACGGTCGTCGACATAAACCACCAGACAGGGAGGAACCTGACCAACATGGTGAGAAAGAAATCGGATACCACTGCTAAGCCAGAGGGCCAAAATTGCGGGGGCGAGAGGACAACCCTGAGGAGTGGACGAAGAGACAGAGAGAATCTCATCATGGATATGATTATCAAATTGGATAAACCGCCGTTGGTTACCCCAAACCCTGAAGAGGACCTGACAGAAACCGAGGGGCCAACCTAAAGTTTGGAGAAAACGGAAAGTGATGGCCGGATGCATTCGATCGTAAGCTTCTTGGTAGTCAAGACTACAAATGAACTGATCACTGACATAAGAATTTTGAAGAAGCTGAGCGGCCGTTTCACAACCCAAGCTATTACGCCCATGAATGATATCAGGGTGCTTATTTTGAGAAATCCACTGAGACACCTCTTCATCCTTGATGAAAGCTGATGCCCAAAGACGCCAAAAAGCGCTCAAAATTGAAATTGGTCTAAGGCCTTGCACAGAAAGCCCAAAGATTTGAAAAACTAACTCCTTGGACAGGGAAGTCAGTGCTCTGCCCAAACCAAGTAGATAAAAACAGACTGGCTTGTTCAAGGTTAACCTGTTGTGATTCCTGAAGCCGTACCTGGTGCTCAAAAATTTTCTTAGTGGCCTCCTCCCTGCTGCGAGAAGGTCCTGCCTGATCATACAACTGAAAGGCAGTGAAATTGCATTCTTTCCTACGGATCCAGCGACCCAGCTGTTTGAACGTACCGGTGTTCATCCGAGACTTCCAATCGTTGAGCCTTTGGTGACGATTGGAATCTTCTAAAGCATTCTGTTGGGAATGAATGTCCTCAATGACGGTTTCGACATGTGCCAAAATTACAGCAAGGGAAGCCTGGCGCATGTGAGGGCACACCTTGGCAAGCAGCTCCTGAAGAGGCGGGAAATGGCGTTTGCAACATCGCCTAATTTCAAAAGCCCGAGCAAGTTTCCGACGGAGACCGCGAAGGCCTTCGCCTGGATTTGGGTTACCCTTAACCAAGGTACTATCCCGGACCCACTGGTGTTTGGCAACGGCGCCTTTAGCACTTTTGCCATTTTGCTTCAACAAACGAGCACTTTCAGCCTGGATGACCTTAGTCTGGCCTTCAGAGCTCAGCGTTTCGAGACTGTGCTGATAGCAGAATTGCAAACAATCCATATATTGATCCCATTCTTTCTGAATGATAGTTTGGGAATCGGGTTCCAAATTTTGAACAGAATGCACCAACTCATGGTAGCAGGAGCTTTGTTCGACTTCGTTCCATGATAGCTCCAGCTGCTGAATCCAGTCTTCGGCAGCGAGACTGGAAGGTTTAAGCCAAGCCGGAGAGGGTTTAATGCGCCCTTTCCATGGGGAACTGGACGCAAAAGAGGACCCCAACCAAATCCCTTTGTGGTCACTAAACACGATGTCATTTTGAACACCCCGAAAAGACACCTCATTCGGAGTTCTGAGCGAATGCATGCACCAGTCGATGCATTTGCTACCTTGCCATCGAGTAGCCTGGAGTCCGTCTCCGGCAAGTTGGCCACCCAAGGTGGACAGCAGAGTGAAAATGCAAGATTTGTCATTTGGTTCTTCATTAAAATCACCCATAATGATCCAATCATGGTTATTAACCTGGTGCGTCTCCCAAAACAAACCCAACGCTTCAATGAGGACTTGAGATTCATGCGGGGGAGCATAGACATTGATGATCCGAACACCCTGAATCCAAACAGATTGAATTTGGACCCCAAAGTGACTAAGAGATTCAGCAAAATGGTGTTTGATAGATTTATGGATAAGGAAGGCAACCCCACCCAACTGTCGCAAAGCTCCCAAATTGCCAGGGACGTAAAAACTTTGATATCCCTTCAGTGAACAATGGTACGCGAATCCGTCCCATTCGCGAGAATCCATACACACTTCCTGAAGAGCGATAATGTGAGACCCCAAGAGGCCTTCTTCATAGAGACGCCAGCAACCAGGCGCCCCTTGAGTGTTCAAGCAAAAATACCAAGCATCAGATTGGCTTTGCGCGGCCTTCTGAGACTGCTTCAAATAAGAAACTTCGGGCCCAGGATTCTGGGCTTCGCCGACCCTGCTTCCCCTCCATCCCAGGAGCCGCACCCGAAGAGCATGGCCAACGAGTGAGAAGGGAGAAAAGAGTCAACTTCGGACCCGTTTACGAGTGGAATTGGCAAAAGCGGCAACATTGAAATAAGAATCGACTTGTTCTTTACTCCAACCGGTTTGTTTCAGAAATTCAGCGCAGTGTTTGGGGCGGTGCTTCTGCACATTTTCCCACCACCTGCGTTTTCCAATCTGAACGTTAGTATCCTTCTTGATAGCTTGTCTGGTTTGGAAACAAGAGAGCTCATGGATCTTGTATTGCTTTTTTTCCCAATTGACCAAGGCACTTTTTACAGTAATAGGCATTCCCCCGGTCAGAGGAATTTTTCCGTTCTTCCTTAGTGATAGAGACAGAGACAACATCATGAGAGCGAAACCGCTTTTTGCGCTCCGTGGCATGGGCAACAACCAAAGCCTTAGCCGTACCAGTTTTGGGTTTACCTCGTTGGCTTTTCACATAAAGACTAAACGGGGTTTCACCAGGGTGTTTGTCACAATGTTTGCGGATAGCTCTAAGTCGATCCTGATTAGGGAGATAAGGGAGGCCAGTATCGCACAGAGGACAAGACCAACCTCTCTGCTCGCGAGGAATGAGATCCGACGTTTCAATCACCGTAGGGTTGAGTTTGTAATTGACCAAATTCAAATTAAATGAAGGATGGCGGGATTTTAAGTGGAATCTCTTGGCACAACTCAAACCGCCCTGCGTTTGACAGTTGATGCACTTATGGCATACAGGGCAAACCCAAGAATGTTTGGAGGTTTGCGAAGTATCAGGTTTTGCCGCTTTGGCAGGCGTCGAAGGTCGAAAAGGCCGTTGACTCACCTTAGAGGAGCTTGCATCCGAAGTGCTGCGAGAAACTTTGATACGTTCCTTGGTTTTCGGGGACGGCCGAACCTTAGCAGAAGCCTTAGTGCGGTGTGTCCCAACACTCCGAACACTTTTGCCCTGAGAGGGCGTGCTGTGTGGTCTAATCCATGAGGAACCAGCTATGCTGGCAGGTGCAACCCAAGAGCTCAGAGATTCTGGCCCAGCCGCACGACCCTCCCATGTTTTGTCCTGGCCATTAACAACTCCCCATTCCTTAGGGAAACCTTTGGGGGGCTTAAGCAACGTGGTGAAATGATCTTCGTACAGCAGGAAGGGAATGATGTGCTTACCTCCGCCTTCATTCAAAACCGCCGTACGAGTCCATCTGCCATTTCTGACTTCAAAAATGACAATGACAACACGGAGGTGTTGGGCGGCCCCTTCAAGAACGAGGCCACAAACCCAACGTTTGTATCTAAATAATGATTGGATGAAATCATCAAGATTGGTAGCCACAGGGCCAGCTTCTTTGATAGCATCAGTGGCGTCGTCGGGCGCCCAACTAGCTTTCCACGTGGTATTGACAGTAGCCAAGGAGTTAATAACCTTCCCATGCAGAGTCTTGGCTAAGCTGTCAGCATTCTCACGCACTTGTTGAGGAGTTTTGTTGTGCGTTTGGCTGATTCCTGCAGCGAGAGATAGCCACCCGCATTCACCACTCCCACCGAGATCGAAATGTTCGAAGCCTTCAAGGCCGGGAATATGATGTCTGTCATGGAGATTTGAAGGGGTGGATTTAACTTTCTTTTTGAACGGAGAAATTCCAGTCCCTACCTGAGAAGTACGCTTGGCTCCGACTTCCGCACCGGGCATTGGTGTGTCAGCCGCCCCAACTTCTCGGTTTTCTACATTTTCATCAATATCTTCATCGAGTTGGGTTGCAGCGATGGTTTGGCTGCGAGAAGGTTGAAACCAACCAGAATTCTTCCCTTTGGGCAATTCCTTAAATTGCTTTTGGGTGCGAATCCAACGTTTGATAGTGATGCGGAATTCTTCATCTTGTTCAGTTTTTCCAACAAACAAATGAACAGCATCACGATTGGTATTTGGGGGAGGACACAAGTTCAAAATCCACCCTTGTTTCTTGTTTCGAGGAGGGGACATAGGGTGGTCTCCCAATTTCCAATTTTTTTCTTCAAGCCATTGCTGGACTGCCATGGGGCCCCAAAACCAAGGGAGGCCTTGGACAACCCAGGTGCTGAACTTAGTTTCGTCGTAGTCGCCCACTAAGCCAAGACAAGTTCCTCCGCCCTTACGAAAAGCCAAGGGCTTGGATTTGTCTGAACCAAGTTTCTGGGCACGGCCTAGGTAGGCAGAAATTTCTTCTTGAGGTTCTCTGCGAATCCAATTCACAGGGGACCTGACCGCTCCTGGTGGAGAAAGTTTCTCAGTGAAAATTCCTTGTGTTCCACTAAACTTGGTCAAAGTGTCTTCAAGTGTGGGATCAACCTTGAGGTATCCCGTAAGGTAAGTAAGTTCATCTCCGCAGATTTCATGCCATTGATAAGCCTTAGCCAAATGTTTATCAATGATAGAAGAGAGCAGAACTTCCGGACGTCGGCAGACATGCCGCCACTCCTTAGAATCCTGCAACAATTTCAAGACAGTGATTCGAAAGGTGATCAGCTCTTTGGGTCTGACCGGGAGCTTGGTTTCAACCTTATGAACGACGACAGGTTTCTGTAGTGCAGTCAGTGATTGATTCGGACACAATGGTGCAGCAAATACCTTAGTGACTCCCCGTTTCTCAAATTCGAAATAACGGGCCTCAGCTTTGATTGGAAGCTTATCCTGTTCGCAGGAAGCTTCAATCATGAGAGTAAATTCTCCTTGAAGTTCATGACTTCGCGCGATACTTTGCAGTTCTGAGGCTTGTGCAGCGGTAACGAAAGCAAGCTTTCCCTTAGGAAAAGCTCCTTTCTCAAGTTGCTGAAACAAAGCAGCCGGGTCAACAACATCTTTACCCGCCCAGAATCCAGCGACACTTTGGGGAAAGATTGCTTGTTATTGATTTTTGCAGTTCCTTCAGCAAGGCCTTCGGTGGTTTTGGCCTTTGCCCAAAAATCACCATAGAAAGATTGCTTACTGACACCGTTGGTAGAGGTTTGAATCTTATTTCTCCCAGTGCCTTTACTTTTCTCAGGTTTAGGAGGAGAAAGAGAAGCTTCACTTTTGAAATCATTCAAGATTTGCTCCAGCGATTGTAAGATGCTTTGCGCCGAGGGTTTGGCAGAGATCAAGCCCTGGAGTTTTTCCAAGAGGAAACTTTGGTTGCGGTCCTCAACGGATTGTTCAGGGACTGGCTTAAACCTGTGCAACAATTCCTCAATGCCTTCGAGGATTTTGCTTTCAGTTTGCTTGCGTTTACTGGTAGAGCTTCCTCCAGCCCCACCTCGTAAAAATTGCGTTCCGTTGACGGTGGTGGTACCAGCTCGACCAGTCCATTTGGTCCTAACCTGAACCTGGGGAGGACTGAAGAAAACAGAAGAAAAGGATTTACACATCCGGGAAAATTCCCTCTTAGCCACTAACCACTTGAGCCAAAACTGGGTAGTGACAAAGGGAGGAGTGAATCCTTCAAGTCGAACGTGGTGTCGCCTCTTCCAGCCTTTTCTGGGGGACCCAAAACGTTTACCACCAACAACTCGGGCAATCCCAGGATTACATTGGGGGTAAAACAGCCACCTTTTAGTGAAACGAGCAACACGTTTGCAGTACTTTCTACTGACTGCTAACAACATCCACAGAGTAGCTTCAGCCAAAGCAACAACTACACTGATTGCTGCAGACGAGTCCCACAGGGCCAGGATGACCCAGAAACTGCTAAGCGACAACACAGTGCTCAAATTTTGGCAAGATGTGAGTGCAGTGTCGGCAGCAAATAAATTGGCAGGTTTCCATGGCAACAGCGGGGTCACCTCACTAGGGGGGCCAGGAACTGGCCGGTGAAGTGTTGACTTCGTAGTGGGTAACGTAGTTCTCATAGGCCGAGAGGGCAAAGAAGGTGACCACATAGCGAGCAGACAGCGGCCAGCCAGCAACAAAACCAGCAAAGCAACAGCTTTACTCAGTAGCTTCCGCTGCCCCAAGCGATGCTTTTTTATTTTTTGGACACTTTCTCTAGAGCAGTCAGCAAGAGCCTTTATATTCTGTCCTTTTTGAGGGGTCTTCTTTGTTTCTTTTTTTTTTATTTCTTTTGATTCTTTTCTTTGATTTTTCATATTCTGGTTCGCACTGCATCCTAAGCTACAGCCCGTCACTGCCGAGGAAGATACTGTCCACCAGGAGGCCAGAATCGAGTGACTATATATATATACATACACATACACAGGGGCTGGTAAATGTCCTAATTGAACATCACCAACATATTGGGGATATAATATCCAAAAGATACTTGAAAGTGATGTTCAAAATCCCCAAAATGGAACATTTATACATACATATACATACAGTATATGATCATATATGTTTTTCTTGGAGACTGCAATAAAAAACTTCCTGGTACTTTTCCTGCCACGAACATCTAGACAGTAGAAATCAGTTGAATCAAAGTCTCCGCCAGAAATCCACAGACACAGACTACTGAAGCTGTTTTCAGTGTGGCTGGTCAGCAGCGACTCTCACAGTAAATAGCAGGAAATAGCCTGCTATAGTTTGATTGTAAATAGCCGACATTTGATTGGGTTACAATCCACAAAACTTTCACATCTGGAGTCTAACAGTCTGAGTCAGAACCCAATGGGGATCAAAGTTAGGGCCTTTTTGAAGTCACCATGTACCAACTGGGAGCATCCAGCCATCACTGGTTCCAATGGTTAGCTATGGGCGGCCCAAAGTGGATGCTGCTGAAGAACTCAATATCATAGTATACATACATATAATATATAAATATACATACATACATACATATATTAATCCATACTGTCTATGTACATATGTACATCTATTATATGTGAGGAGTGTGTTCAGGAAGCTGTTTCTATCAGGTTCGTGGTTTCAAAGCCCTAATATTAGTCACCCGGGATCATCCTCGGCTATGGTCAACACCCTTCCCCAGCACCCGATCTGACCCCTTGAATTGTCAAAAATTCGGCCTTTGAAAAGCTGGGATCCGTGCTGATACAAACCGATTTCGCTGCCAGCCAGCCACCCTGGCATCATTTAGAGGTCCAACTTTTCGAAATGGGCTATGTTCACGCAGCCTCCATTGCCTACTGTGCGAGGACGGGACATGTGGCACAGTTCGAAAATCAAGTCCTTTTGTGCATCTCAGTCATCTCAACGGAGTGGATGATAATTTTGATGATTACGATGAGTAGCTCATTCACTCTCAAAAAAAGGCTCCCATCGCCAGTTCAATAAGGGGAGGCAATATTTTTGACATTTTGGAGAGGGCCTTTACAAATTGGGATACCCCTTTTCCCCTTTGGTTTCGCCACTGAACAAAAATTACCGACACCAGCATTCCGTCGGATACCAGGATACCATTCCTGAGATGCACGTTGGACCCTGGGACCCCTTGGACCGGCGTTCGGAACGGGAGAGCAACAGCAACTTGCTGGGTGAATGCACCTTGATCGGATCCGACCTGCGAGAAAATCATCGGAGAAATACGATGATAAAAATGGGAAAACTCGACAATGGATTGACTTAATTGAAAGTGAAATCCTATATTACATATACATAGTTACATATATATGTATATAGATAATTCAAAAGACAGTGGATGGATTTGAGAGAACATTTGCAGGAAACCCCTGGTTTGCACTTCCAGTATTGTTTTTCCCTATCAATGATTCTGTGAATCATCAACAACTCATAAACATCATAAGACCATGTTGGGCAATGCATAAAGCCCAGACCATAAACCAAAGCGAATTTAGACACTTGCGGGATTTCAGTAAGAAAGTGGGGGTATTACGGTATGTATATGGCTATGGATCAATCCCTAGAGATACCATTTTTAGGGGGATGAACATCCATTTACCAGCTATTTTGATGTTCACCAGGGGTACTATTGGTTTTGACACACTGCCATATTTTCTGGTCTAATGACCTGTGAAAAAGGAAAAATCTGGAAAAATCACCATTTCCCTTGGATTTCCACCATCCCGCAGGACTTCAGTTCCTGGGACCTGCCAACGGTTTTTCTCACGGCAGATCCCTACGCCAAGCGAGGCCGGAGTCTCTCCAAAGCACTTGATAGGCGTTCGGCGCTCTCGGGAAACAGACCGGCACGGTTGGGACTCTGGTGCGTCACCAAGCAAATCAAATTGGAGAAGTTCATTCGTGCCAGGGTTTTTTGAAGATTTCGGATATCTCTTTCCGAGATAAAGTCAGACAACGGCTTTGCACCCTTCGACTCCTCCTGGGGCGGCAAGTGAAAAAGGGGGCAATGTCCATGACACGAACGGCAATTGGTCCTATGTAGATTGTCACTTGTTGAGCACTTGTTGGGCACTTGTTGGGGTTTTCAATTTCTGGGGTGAAATTTCCAAAGTTATCATTGAAAATATCTGGTTCAGATTACTACTTGGTTGTCTTCCCGCACTTGTGCTCTGTTATAAATGTCTATCGGCCAAAAAAAATATGGTATCGCTATGGGGGTCACGTTGCTTGATTTTTCATCTACCAACACTCGATCCTTCGTTCCAGCATGTTCCAGCCAATCCGTGGCTCATCGACTTGCGATGACTTGCGACAATTGGAGATATCGCAAAGAATGAGGGCACGAATCCCATACCCTATGTAGCAATTGTTCAAATCGCCATCAGAAAGGGAAAAAATGAAAGCCGATCTGCAAGTGAAGTATCTTTGTTTAGAAAAGGTACCCTTGGGAAATAGACACTTGTCAAGCTGGCCATCAAGAAGAAAACCTTTCGGTTAAAACTGGAACATCATTTTGTTCTGGATCTCAAGTGGTATTTACAAATGAATATGTCATATGCGCGACATCCAAAACCAGTAGTACCGCACAATGCGGTGGCGGAAGTTTCAAGGATAGAACACTATAGGAGAGGTGAGTTGCTGTGATGCATGGATGGCAGAGCGAATCCACTGATGGACCCAAAGGTGGTTGGAGTTGTGTTTTTTGGAATGGTTACAGTGGTTGCAGCCACAACTGCTGGATGTAGTGTGGTGTTGCGCAGCTGTAGGCGTAGTTGAAGTGTAGTGGAGTTGTAGTTGTGTGTGATGTAATCAGCGTGGTGAAGTTGCAGTTGTAGCTGTGGTGTGGTGTAATGAGTGTAGTGTAATGTCATGTAGTGTAGCTGTAGCGTAGTCTAGAGTAGTGTGCTGTAGTGTTGTGTGCTGTAGTGTAGCCTAGTGTAGTGTAGCCTGGTGTAGTGTAGTGTAAAGTAGTGTAGTTGCAGTTGTCGCTGTAGTTGTGGTTAGTGTAGCGT